AGTATTCCCATCTTTTATGATCTGTCATTTTCACAAATTGTAGGTGTGTGGAAACCCAAGAGCTCAGTCTGTGCGGAGGGCTTGTGTAGCTCTTTCTTCTCAGGAAGATTTATATCGGGTTAACCAGGCCGCTTGTAGCATGCAGGAACTCTCCTCTATTTTTACAGCTGGATGTTGGAGGCATACTGAGATTAATTCCAAGACCATTTCCATACTAATCTAATGCTTCCTAGTTGCTTTTATTTGGGAAAAAGAATTGGGATCTTTTTTCTTCTCTCATCGTCAGACTAGGGTGAGGTATTCTATTTTTTTTCCCCCTCCCCCCTTCAGCATTCATGTTGATGGTTAGGGAGCTGAGGAGGACCTGTTGCTTAGCTCTAGGCATGCCGTGTGGTGTGGTACCCAGCCAAATGCTGCCTGTTGTCCTGGCAGATCTCTTGGATGTGTTTTGGAGCTTGTTCACAGCTTCTAGTTATCACAGGCATCCGGAAATAACTTGTTAAATTCTCCAGATAGATCCTGGGACTGATTATTGGAGCAGGAACCCTCTGTAGAAGGCATTATCTGCTAATTGGGGTTCCTCATGCTGCTGCTGAGGGTGGTTGGACACTGCTTTGTAGGCAGCATCTTCTAACTGCTGTTTGTAACTAGTTTTCAGTATTGCCTGTTGTGCTTCCCTTTTGATGCTGCTTAAATTAAAAGAAAGACAAAAAAAACTAGCTTACTGATGCTTGCTTTTACCTCCCAGGTCAAGATGTCTTTCCTCCCAGGTTAAGTCCTTCCCCCAAAGAAGCAGAGGAGGGAGCAGGAAGTAAAGATTCTATAAAAAGACTTCTCTCTGCTGTTTTCTGCCGAACAGAAGTAGCAGTAAATGGCACTTAATGCTGATGGCTCTGTACGCATTTGTTCCCTAGAAGTTAAGGTTCCTGGGAAAGTGGTTATTCTGCCTAAATAGCGTTTGTGAAACAAGGGTTTTGTTCTGCGTCATAGGTGCGCTTCTCCAAAGTGGCATGTTTGTTGATGGAGATGTTGTACTGGGTCAGGAGCTGCAGGGCACACACTGACACTGCAGTGTGCACTAAGCAGCCTGTTGTTTTTTGTTTCATAGCCCTACGGTGGATGTCTTGGGTTTTGAAAAGAGAATCACAGAATCACAGAATTGCCAGGGTTGGAAGGGACCTCAAGGATCGTGAATCTCCAACCCCCCTGCCACACGCAGGGCCACCAACCATCCCACCTAATGCTAGACCAGGCTGCCCAGGGCCCCAGCCAATCTTTGGATTGGAGGCTTTGAACACCTCCAGGGATGGGGCATCCACAACCTTCTCTGGGCAGCTGTTCCAGCACCTCACCACTCTCTCGGTAAAGAACTTCCCCCGACATCCAACCTAAATCTCTCTTCCCTCAGCTTAAAACCATTTCCCCTTGTCCTGCTGTCAAAAGAAAAGTGAAGAAAGAAAAGTGTTCCTGTTTGCCTGAGATGTGTCCAGATGTTTTGGTTGGTTAACTTGAACAGTTTTCATATCTGATATGTAGATACAACCTTTAAAAATGCAGCAGCTCTTGAAACAGAGCTGTAGGTAGAAAGTCCTTTCTAATAAGTAGATGCAGGAGGGAAGTCAATGGGTGCCGTAGGGTGATGCCCATGGATTGCTTCAGCATCCTTAAGCTGTTTTTTTTTTTTCTGGACTGTACTGGTTACCTGAAGTAGATGTGGGAAGGATACATCCTTGTTTCCTCAGCCAGCAGCAGTGGTGCAGTGGGAGCAGGATCGAATGGCTGCGTGCCTGCCATCTGGCTGCCAGTGCTGTGGCCCAGATTTGGAAACAAGCAACTGGGAGGTGGGAAAGCAGTGGCTTCATGCAGCGCTTCTGCGGGCCTCCTGCCTGACATGTGCAGTCGGGTGACCTGTGGTGAGGCAGGGAAGTGGCACCCAAGCCTTGGGGGAGGGCACATGGGTGGCGGAGTGTGCGCTGCCAGGCAGGCAGCCCTCGTGACTCACGGCTTCCGTGCAGGAGCACGTGCTTGTGTTGTGCTGTGCTGTTGAGCAGGAAATGTCAGATGGGTGTTTATAGATTAGAGTTACCTTCTGAGCTCTATCGAGAGATTCACAGCAAGTCAAAACTGAGATAAGTTGTGTTTCTGTAGAGCTGGTTTTCACACTTGGAACAGTTTTTCTGCTGTCCTTTCTTCTTGGACTTTAGTTGTTACCTTAGTATGACAGGTACCAAAATGCACAGTACCACCAGAGCACCCCATTGGTTTGATAGCAGGGTTCATCATGCGTGGAACCAGCTTGTGGTCACATTGCTGCCTCACACTGCAGTTCCACAGCGGGTGAACAGCTAAATTAAACAGCACCTGCTTCTGTGCACTAGTGTGAAGTTGGGAGGAATGTGCGTTTACCTGTACTCTAGGTTACCTGTAATTGCAGTTTGCAAACTAGTCTCCAGTCTCTGATTCTGTGTTTAACTTGAACCAGCCTCAATTTTTATTTGTATTTTTACCTGCTACTTGCTTCTGCATTAGGAAGAACTAAACAAGCACTTTATATTGATAAACAGCCAGAAGTAGGGGCAGCTCTCTGCTACAAACTCCTAATACCATTTCTTCATTGGCTCTTTCCAGTTGGTGCATCTGCTAGTGCTCTTAATATTGCAAACAGCGTTTTTCGTGTTCTTCTTTTTAAGGAGTGTTTCAGGGTGGGGAAAACATGAGGAATTTTATTTGTTTTGGTTCAAGAGTCTGGCTGCATGATGGGCCCTGCTGTCTGTGTGCTTATTTCAAACTTCTCCATAAGTTGAGAGATGGAGAGCATCCAAAATTTAGCAGGAGTTTCTCATTTAGCTCAATTATTTCTTATTCCTCTGCATTTTTTTGCAAGCTGGGCCTGTAAGTTTCTAGCAGTACGAGAACATAGTGACGCTGAGACTGCTGCTGAGGAAGTGGTGTTTATAAATGGTGATGGTCACAGACAGAGCCCTTCAGCTGTAACTCCTCATTCTGTTGAAGAAATGTTTGCTGAGCATTACAGTGCTCTTTTGCATGTTTCAGATCTGTTTGTTTCACTTTCCTTTCAGCTGTCAGTGCCTCAGAGTGCAACTGAAATGCCTTGTTCTTCCAAGACACCCCTGTTCTTCGTATGGAAGATCCAACTAGCTGGTGGTAGCGATGGGTTTTAGGCATTTTGCTTTCATGAAATTTCTTGCAAATCCAGAACTCTGCAGGGATATCATTTCAGTTTGTGTCATGGGCTGTGTTATGGTGAATAAGCCACTGACAAGCACTGAAAGAAGTTCTGAAATAGAATGCAGACTTGTAAGTTGGCTTTCTGGCTGCTGCCTGATGCGGGGAAGTACTTGGTGTGCACAGGGGATTGCTGGTTGCTCTGCTTTGCATAGTGTGTTTCTCAGTTCCTGGAGAAGTGAAACAGTTTACAAGTCCTACTGGTTTGATTCATTAACTATTGGGGGACAGTGAAAAACTGCTTAAATAAAGATGCTATTTAATAGAAGGCACACTGGGCTTCGTGAACCAAAACAGAACGTGCAGCTCTGATGAGAGAACAGATTGAGGATAAGTGAGGAAATTGAAGCTCGAGGAGTTTCCTTTAACTCAGTAATGATCATGTGGGGCTAGGCAACTCAAATTATAATTACCTCTTTCTATTTCTTTAAGCATCAGTCATTTCTCTCCTTTCCTTTGAACCTGTGTGGAATAGTTAAGCTGCATGGCGAAAGTGAGAGAGGGACTTAGAAGTGAAGTAGGGCCCTGGAGTTAAGTGCTGACACAGCTTTCAAGTGCAAGTAGTGGAGACTTGGATATTGGCAGTGTGCGACTTTTAGTTCCTCCAGCTGCAAGTCAGAAGAATTGTTAACGTTATAGATGTTAGCAGAACACTGACTAGAAAATAGTTATGTGTCCCAATGTTATTTCTTGTACTGACAAGCTGTCCTTGTCTCAGTGTTTTTCCCAGTGTTGCTATCCTGAATTGCCTATGGCAAGTGGAAATCCCTTTAAAAACTGCTCATTACAGACTCTCAAGTAGATGCACCTATCTAGTCCTGTTCTCATTATATTTCAGTTCATTAATGGGAGAAGAGCAGCGGTCGTGTGCCTTCAAGAATGTTCTGCTTAACAAGATTAAGCTACGTTCTGATGTTAGTGCTTAAGATGATGAAACTTGAATACTAATTTTTTGTTTTGTTTCTTTTAAGCAAATGGTTATGAGCCTTAGAGTTTCCGAGCTGCAAGTACTTCTGGGCTACGCAGGGAGGAACAAGCACGGACGAAAACACGAACTTCTCACGAAAGCACTGCATTTGTTAAAGGCTGGCTGCAGTCCTGCTGTACAAATGAAAATCAAAGAACTCTATAGGCGAAGGTTCCCCCAGAAAATCATGACGCCCGCAGACTTATCTCTCTCCAGCGTACACTCAAGCTCCATGCCAGCAACTTTGTCTCCATCTACCATTCCACAGCTCAGTTACGATGGCCACCCCGCCACGTCACCATTGCTCCCCGTTTCGCTTCTGGGACCTAAACATGAACTGGAACTCCCCCACCTCACATCTGCGCTCCACCCTGTCCATCCCGACATCAAACTTCAGAAGTTACCTTTTTACGACTTGTTGGATGAGCTGATAAAACCTACCAGCCTAGGTAAGCTTGCAAACAACGTGCTGTGATAATGTTTGAAGATGGACTTTTTAATAGTAAGGGATGAATTAAGCTGCTAATGCAGTAACTGGTTAAATATTGCATCACAGCAGTGTTTAGAGAATTGCTATTTTTGGTAACTTTGGGAACAGATTGTTCTATGCAGAGAGACATCTTACGTAATGCTCATTAGTTGCTTTAGCTGAGCCATTAAATATGGTTCAAAGTTCCGTTATGTTTAAGGGGTGAGTTTGAAAAAGAAACAATTGAACCTTAGAAAAAGAAACTTTAAAAAAGCAAACAAACTTCACAACTGTTTAACTTTAAAAAAAAAAAAAAAAAAAAAACACGCATAAGAATTCCTCAAAACACAGAGCTTAATTATTAAAAAAAAAAAAAAAAAGTACTCCAACAACCTTGAGTTTGTAAGGCCCACAGAGGTCTTCTCATCTGTGCTGGGAAGGAATGCTGTGCTATTTGCCGTGATTCCTTATGGACTGAACATCCGAGTTTGGGAAGACTTGTGGTTCTTCAGCTGTTGTGGCTTCTTTTCTTTAACAGTTTTTGTACCAAGGTATAAATCACTTGGGTAGCTGCTGAGCACCAGATGATGCTTACAGAGCGTTATGTAACAACGTGGGTTTTTTCTGGCTCTGACTCCACCTTGCATTTGTGAGCACGGCTAACTTTTAATACTACTTCAATGCAATAGTCCTGTTGATTCCTAGAGAGGCTGCTTGTATGTTGGAACCTTCTGCTGTCTTAGAATCCTGGTGAAGGCTCACAGCGAGAAAAGCTAGTAGGAGGGGGAGATGGGAGGTGGTGGGGAGTGAGAAGATTGTCCTTTGCAAAAGAGATTCCTTGTAAGCAGAAGTGAGCAGGTAGTTTACGTTTGTAGCCTGCACTGCCGCAGGGCTGACAGGAGTCTGCTGTGTTAGAGAGTGGTGGTTGTCTGCAGGCTTGTGCAGCACATTGCACAGTTGTGTTTTGTTTTAGCTGCTGAATCTGAGACTCTGTGAGAAAAATAGACGGCTTTTGATAATCTCAGGTTCTGGTTCAGGTATTGTTTTCAAAGGTGTGCTGTGTCTGTTCAGTTCTAGTCTGAAGTCTGATGGATTGATAAGCATTGCAGGCGGTGTTGGTGGTACAGGACAATTAGGTGCTCAGAATGTCTCATCACTTCTACGTTATAACTACTTAAAAATAACACTGTCATTTCAATAAGACATTCCGATGCAGGCGTTATGGTTTGCTTTTAATCCTAGATATGGTAAGAACACTTTTCTGTCAGTGCTGTGCCTGACAAACCAGCCCTGAATTAGGAGATCGTAATTCACGCTCTGTCATTTCTTATTGCTTGAGGAGTTCATGTACAGTAATCTGTTTTTTCCTCTTTGTGGACTCTGAGCGCCAGGGTAAGAAAATGCAAGTGGGTGAAGCTCCAACCAAACAGCTGAAGTAATCTCTGCTCGTTTCAGTTGGTGTAAGGGCTTGTTCCGGGTTTTTGTTTAGCATGTGCATCCTGTGCTGTTTATCTGAGGCAGTACTGTTAAAAAAGCTGTTTCTTCCTGTGCTTTTTGGGAAGAATGTTTCAGTGTCCATGTGTGTGAGAAACGTTTGTTTCCTTTTGTAGTGGAAAGCAATACTCCTGCAGACTGTAAAGTTGCCAGCTCTAAATGTCATAAGGATGTTTTAAAGTAATAGATGTATATGTTGACTGGAGAAGAAAAATAATGATTGGATTAGTAACCAGGGATGTGCAGCTCTGTGCGCTGTCGCAGAATTGCAGGGTGGTTGAGGTGGGAAGGGACCTCTGGGTCCTGCTGGTCCAACCCTTACCCAAGCAGGGGTACACAGAGCAGGGTGCCCAGGGCCATATCCATGGCAAAACACTCCGAGCCCCTGTGTGTCATCTTCGTTTGTGCATTTACAAATACTCTAATAGAAAAGAGCTTTAAGTGATATTTTTTTAATACTTGCCCTAAATGGTTTGGACATTCTTTTTACTGTGGCAATGCATGGCTTTCCTCAAATATCAAATTTCTTGCTTCTCAGGTTTTGTTTTCAAATGGCAGATGCATACTGTGAACATTCAAAACTTTGTCATTTGGCCAATAGTTTGGGATCTCCTGCTTGCTTTTTCCTGACAGGTTCGTTGTGGGATGGCTATAAGAAACCTTTTATTTTTTTTTTCTTCATTTCCTTGCACCATGAGAACTAAGAGATGAGCTGCTGAAGAGTTTTTCAATGAATGTCTCTGTTCTTAAAATAGAACCTGTCAGAATGGTAAAAGTACGTGGGGATGAGTGCAGACTCCATTGGTTTGAGGATTTTGGATTCTTCTGAAAGAAGTCATTACATATAAATTCAGTAGATCACATCTTTGGATCTGATTCTCTCCTGGTCTTTCCCTATTCAATGTGGGGCTGCTTGAAGGATTGCCTGGAGTAGTCTTCCATCAAGTAGTCTGCCATCAAGAAGTAATTATTAATTTGGAAAACGATAATTTGACAAAGCTTGGGGGAAGGGAGTTGCACAGCAGGGCACTTGAGTATGCATTCTGTATCCAAATATTCTGTGTAAGTAGGCAGTATGCAAGCTAATGTGAATAACAGATAAGGAAATTAAATTTGCTAACTATTATTTTTAATGTCAAGAACAAAAGGAGGAAATGGATGTTACCTTCTTATACTTGCTTCCTCAAAATGTAGCTCTGAACTGCAATAAAATCTGCATGCTGACAGCTAGGTGGGCAGGATTCATTCACAACAGGCAAGAAAATGTAGTGCTTTATCAACCCCCATCCTCTTCACCAGCAGCAGCTGCTGAGGGTCTTGTCTTTAGCATGGCTGGCTGAAATGGCTGTGACAAGCTAACGTTAGAAGTCTGTTGGCTTCTTTATTTCTGTTTTCTCTGCAGCAACCCATAAAACCCCCAGCAGTGAGTAGGATGCTCCCAGAGTTGCCTAACAAGTTGAACGTGTAAACACAGCCCATGCTACTTCAACCTGCTTGTCTCTGAACAGCTGACAGTAGCACCTAGATCCAGGTGGTGATGGGACTGTTCCTGCTGCTCTGCTCACTTAGGTGTCTTGTTTTGCTTCCAAGTGTTCCAACTACGTAACTCCTTTGTGGAGCCTTGTGGCTAGTGCTGCTGGTCATGGTTCTGCTGCCTGGGCTGCTGGAGGTGACAGCGTTTCTGTGGTCCTGTGAAGGCTGCCAGTAGCCTCGTTAACTGAAAGGAAAAGATCTCTCCAAATGGCAGCAGAGCTGTGGAATTTATCCATCTTTTGTTAGTCATCATCCTTGCAACATTGAGAAAGAGCCTGTATTGGATATTTTTGTGTTCGAGCCAATTCAGGATATTCATTGCTTGTTCTGAAGGTGTGTGGTGGTGGATGGATGTGTACCCTGAGCTCTTGCAGCACTAATGAGAAGTGTGAGCACTCTGCCTTGTGCTGAGCAGCCATTTCAAGTGATTATATGCAGGTGTTTTGGAAAAGGAGATCCCATTTGGCCTTGATGAATGTATGAAAACTGCTTATTATTTTGACCTTTTTTTTTTAATAGGAATTCCTTTAAGTTAGAGAATCTTGCTTGTTAGTTTCTTAAGAGAAGCTACAGCTTTCACTTAATTTTATTTTCAGCCTTCAGTCAGTGTACATACACTACTAATTGGTTATTTTTTAAGAATAGGGCCAATTTTCTAAAAGTAACTTCTATCACACCGATAAGATCTCTTGTGTGGTAAAATGTTTACTATGAGATGAGTAATGAGTACCCAAATTCTGCCAGCTTATTATGGAAGGGACGTTAGATTGTTAAACAACATCTTAAAAATACTTCTTGTTATAGCATATGTCATTCCTAATTGCTTTAGCTATGTAGTTGTTCCAAAAAAACATTGTAACTAGGCTACGGGTCTTTGTTTACCTGTGTGTAGTGGAATATTAACTTTTTCTTTTCAATTTAAAGGATGAAGGAGGTTATGGGCTATGCCATTCTGTTTTTATGAAGCTGTCTGGACTCCACGCAGGTGATGGTCCTATGATTTGTTTGCTGTGTTTCCGTGCTAAGTGATGTTTAAAGCACTGAGCCACAGAAATGGGAATTTTGGCCCACGCATCTCAGCCTTCTGGAAGGAGGAGGCAACAATGTGTTCTGGGCATCACCCCACAAAGCAGCACCTCCTGCCTGCCAGCACCCACAGGCTGTCTCCACTGGGCAGAAGGAGCTTCTGTGGCTCTGCTCAGGTTTGTTAGGTCCTGGTGGAATTTCTTCATTTATGGACTATAATAGAGTTTCTCCAGGAAGTCCAGTCTCTCCCCTGGTGCCTGTCCTCAGAAGAGCAGCTCTGGCCTGGTGCTCACTGACTGGCAGTCATGCTCCCAACTTGCATTTACATTGAAACTTCTCTCACGTGTGATTGACCATGGTTATTTGGACATGGCACATTCCTGAAGGCAGAGCTTGCATCTGGTCTGACCAAAATCTTTAGTGTGGCTGTAGTTCAAGTTACAGCTATTAAACAATTAAACAAATCAAAGCAGCTAGAAATCTGGGTTGGAAACTAGAAGAGTTTTGTTTGGCAAGTATTTCACCCTTTCATATATCAACAAGTTGATCTGCTGCTCTGTGCAATCAGAATCATGGTTTATATGAAAGTCACGCTTTTACTGTCTTCTGTGTTTGTTATTTTTTCAAATGTTCTTTGTGGGAGGAAGTTCAGCAAAACCCTGCATTCTCAGCCCAGGCCGCGCTCCGACTTCCGGCTCTGCAGCTTCGGGTTGCGCAAGGAGGAGCTGGAATCTGAACTCTTGTTTGTGTGCTGTGGCAGAGCAGAGCTACGGAGCACTGAAGTTTCTTTTTTGGGCTCCAGTTTTATTTGCATATGGCCTTCTTCAAGTTCACATCTGAAGACTCTTTCCGTAGTTAGTTTCTCTTAACATTTTAAAGTTTTACACAGCTGTGCAGCTCTTGCCTTGCAAGAGGGGGAGTGTAAATGCTTACTGTTCACCTTAGCAGATGATTGTTGGCTCCTCACGTATGGAACTGTGATCACCATGGTCCCAGGACCCTGCAGGATGTGCGTGCTTTCTGATGCCACAGCTGTAATGTGGATGGATCTATAAAGCTACTTTACTTCCCGAGATCAAATTAGGATATCTTTTTGATAATTAAAGCTTTTAGTGGAAGGAATTATGGCAAACCACACTGTTGATTCAAAGTCTGAGTAATCCATGAATAATCAGTGAATAAACCTTGGGGTGGCATCCCACTGAGGTGCTTTGAGGCTTGGAAGTGTAGCTCAGGTATCGTGAGAGGAAGCTGTGCTATACACATATGTGCTTTTAAGATTTCAACTTGCAGCTAAGACATGGATGTCACTTGCCAACAGCATTTCCAGCTTTCGTGCCTTGGAATCTTGATGCTTTAATCTCCCTTATGATGACTTTCAGAAGAAGGTGGTGTGGGTTGCTCTAATTGTAGGAGAGAACTTAGTAGGGGTTCTTATCTGATCATAAATGTTGAACTTCCTTTTTGCCTTTCTTATTAGGATTATAAAACTTAATGCTGTCTTGCTGAGACCAAAAATACGTTAGATTCAGGATAGGCAGTGCTAGCAGCTTGCTTGGAGTGCTTCACTGCTGCTGGTGCTCTTAGGAGCAGAAGCTAAGTTTTTCCAGCCTGAATGGCGGAAGGTGAGTTCTGGGATCTACACTGAGGTGTGTGAGTAAATCAAGGGACTTAAACAGGGCCTGGAGGATCCAGTGATGTTCCTCCCCCAGTAGAGGTGATCTGTGGGCCCAGCAAGAGCAGTGGTGAGAGGTAGGATGGAAAGGGGAGAGTTCTGGTGCTGTTGGTCAGCATTGGCTTGGCCTTGAAGGTCTGCAGGAGTCTGTTGCTCAGAAATGCTGTGATATGTGGCTGATTAAAAATAATAATGCCTAAATATGCATCTAGTTGCACTGGAGGTTCCGGCTGATCTATTCTTTTCATACAATATATAATGAAGTGCTATAAAATAAGTGATATTTATGAATTAATTGTAGCCTTTGGAGTATTTCCAGGCTATTTTCGTATACGTATGTTTAGGCACTGTTTCAAATAATGCTCAGAAGCAATAGGCATAGCTCCACTGGGAGTGGGAAAGGCAGGGAGTAAAGAGGGCTTAACTATTAAAAGCGGTGACTTAAGCCAAGTGGAATCTGGAAATGATCTGAAGAGAGAAATGCTGCAGAGTGACCAGAACCTGAGGTCAGTTTTTCATCGGTTTTAAGCCCAAGAACTCAATGCTGCCATTTCACAGTAATGCCATGTGTTCTCGAGTGCAGTTGTAACCCTTGGGAGTGGGTGAAGAGCTGGCCACTGCTGCCAGGGGAAGAACGACTTGTCTCTTTACAGAAATATCCTTTAGAATCCCAGCGATCCTTTTGAAGAGTTTTGATGTGCTCCTTGGTGTCTGGCCCAGGGTTCTTCTTCAGCTGGGGTTGACTTGGCTCTGGTCATCGGCAGGAGGTTTAGGTTGGGTCTAAGGATGACATTCTTCTCAGTGAGGATGGAGAAATAAGGGAGAGGCTGTCCAGGGAAGCTGTGCACACCTCACTCCTAGAGGTGGGCCAAGCCAGGTTGGATGGAGCCTTGGGCAGCCTGCTCTGGGCGTAGGATGGCTGTGTGTAGCGGGCAGCAGGAGCCCAGGGGAGTGGGGTGCTGGGTTTACTGCATTGCTGCTCAGCTGTGGCTGGTGGCAGGGGCTCGGTGCTGAAGGGCTGCGGTTAATAGAAGGGAAGTGTTTGTGTGTAAATGCTTGCATTACCCAGGAGCTTCGTAAATTGTGGTGCTTTTAAAAGGGCAGCGATGTATCCTGAGATGCTGCGAATCTCCTAAACAAGAAACAGCCTCTCATCGTTCCTGTCCTGTGCAGCAGCCTGCTTTCTGCTTTATTAAAAGCACCGTGTGTGTAAATGAGCCCCTTTCTGGATTGGTGTGAGAGGATCTGGGCAAACTCCGTTATGAGGCATCTGGGTATTGTGTTACAGGTTCCCTGGCTTCCACTGCAACTGAGCGTGATTCAAAGCCTGTCTGAATTTTACCTTTTAAAAAGGTAAATGTTTTCTGTGCCTTAATCTGAATGCAGCAATTTTTGCCTTAGCTTGGAGCCGGTATATTACATTTTCAGTGGTGGTACTTGAAAGGAGATGGAGCATAAACTGATACAATGCCTTCTGTAGCTGAAAAGAATAAAAAAGCAAAATGTCTGTCTCGCAACAAAATGAAGTATCTTACGTGTTTAGGGAAGACACATAAATATTTATGTGTTGGATTGACATCTTCTATAGTGTTTGGGTTTTACTGGTCAATATTTTGACAAATGTAACTGATGAAAATGATGTACTCTATTAGCTTAGTGAATGCCCAATTAACACCTCTTGTTCGGCTTACAGCATCGAGCAAAAATTTGCTGTAGTCCTGATGCTTAACTATTCCTGCTTTCAGAAATAAACATGCTACTATTGCATACGACTGGTCAAAGGCCAATTCACTGATGGCTTTTCTTGTCTCCAGCTAAGGTAGAGTATAAAATGTAAGCTTAATTTTAGTCCAGATACGTTTCTGCATTACAAAATAGCGTATTCCCTCTGTAATCAGCTGGGTGAGCATTAACCTTAGCACACTGACAGCTCGATGGCCAGCTGCTGTTGCATCGGGAAGCATCCCCACGTCGACGGCGTAATGACCTGAGCTTCATTAAAGGTTTGAAGGTGTCTGCTTTTGAATGGAAACTTAGAGCAGCTTTTTCTCGAGGCAGCAAGAGGTATTTTACTGCAGAAAGATTGCGTGGCTATTTTTAGCCCTGGGTACTGGTGAGGTGGAACAGAATATTTTTAGAGCTGTAGAAAACGCAGCCACTCGAGCTGCCTTCTTTCATTCTAATGCCATGGACTTTTTTTTGTCAAAATAGAGTAGAACTGGTAGGAAACGTTTTTTTACGTGTCATTATGAAACGTTTTTTATGTGTCATTATTATTAGTTATGCTCATTATCTTTTTAATATAAATACTTACATAGAATTTGAAGTGTTTTAGTCCTGTGGATAGCACTCCAAAGTATTAAGATGGTTTTTGCTCCAACTTTGAAAACTCATTACTCGTGTGAAACAGTCAATAAAAATGCAACAAGCAAGGTGTAATAGGGGCGCTCCCGATATGTACCAACCCCATCTGCTGTTTGGATCATTACTGGAGTGAAGAACGTGAAATAATTCAGCAGGCTGTGCTAGTAGTGAACAGGTAAGAGAAACCACTTGGAAAAAGAAGTGCTGCACTGCAGTTTTATGCAGCTCCGTGTGTCTCCTGCTAACATCAGGCCCAGGTGTGCTTAAAAGAGAATGTGCGTTTTGCTCATTGCCTTCTCTGGGTTCTAAGCTGGGTGAATTAAGTAGTAGTGAATAGTTGGCTCCAACACCTCCTCAAAAACAGAGATTGCTGGAACAGGAGTAGTGGGTTTCCATATTGCTTGTCTGAAGGTCTTCTGGTTGACATCCATTTAATTACACAAATTTACGTGGAAAGATTGTTATTATCCACATTCAAGCATCTACCTTTTCCAATGTCTGAATAATTCACAGGAGTTGTTAGCAGTAATACTCGCCATGCATGGCATTCCTTGAAATTATTGTGTGCACATGGAGCAGAAAATATCCAGTAGACATTTGTGCTTGGTACCTCTTTTCTGAGATGTGAAGGAAAATGGCCTACAAAGTAATCCTCTGAGCTCTGCCATTCAAAATGTGCAAAAGAAAAGGTTATAAAGCTTAATAATTTATAATTGTGAGGGGAAAAATGTGTTTCTGGCAACTTTTGTAAGAATTTTTGTATTAACTGTTTTGGCTGTGTTCCAGCTTTATCAGATTATAAGTTCTATTTTAATCTGCTCAGTTGTCAGCTGGAGATCTTTCTGCCTCCCTTTGTTAAATAAAAGCTATTTGCAAGGCGTGGTTGGATGTTTTTAGCCATGAAAACGATTTTCTTATATAAAACTGTATTTGCATATTTCTAGTTGTAATTGAATTCCAGAACTCTGAAAATAAACAATGTGTTTATCTGGTCAGGGTCTGTTTGACTCTCCTAAACCCAGCAGATCTGCCAGATGAATTGGGAGAAGTCTGCTGGCTTTTCTGCACTCTTAATTTCCTGGCTTCCAAAATCACTTCCACGAGAAACACAAACTCCTTACAAACAAGGCAGTTTGTGTTGTCACAGATGAGCTTGGGAGCCTTGCACTTAGACATGGAGCTGCTAAATTAGCTCCCTTTGATTTGTTTTGTTGAAATTTTCATGCATCGTTTGTAGGATAAGTAGATCTAGAAATAATAGATAAGGTTATAAAAAGATATGAGAAAACATATGGGAGATCAGAGAAAACCACAAAGTAGAAAAACATTTCTCATTTCCCTCTCAGAAGATGCTTCAGTTTGGTTGCAGCCCCCCCTTTCCTCCTGTACAAGGGGGTGAGAACACATCAACACCTCCTCCCATCCTCCTCCCTGCTTCTGTCCCTGCAGCATTGTCACCCATACATTCTCCTCTTACAAAGAAATGACCAAAAAAAAGAAAAAGCTACCAAATCTTAGTTCTGCTTTCCAGTGGCACACGAGGTGGCCAAAATAAATAAACGATGGGCCTATAAACTTGCCCTTTTCCCAGCTGCTAGTAAGGCTGGGGCTGTGTCCCATGGCTCAGAGCCTGGCTTTGGATCTTGGGTGCTGGGATGTCTTCCCTCTGCTTGCATTGCTCAATCTGTCAAGGGTTTTGCATTCTTTGAAGATTAGCTTTTACATTATCTCTCTTTAATTAACAAGTTGCTGCTTCTTCCCAATCTGACCTTGCTCCTGTGTGATAGCTTGTACGCAGAAACAGCGTCCTGAAAACACTGCAAGTGGATATTAGCACTGCTTTACAGCTGGGGAGGGTTGAGCAGTGTGTGATGCAGTGCACCTCTGACCACTGGGGACCATCAGCTCATAGACTTCTGCTTCCATTTATTGGGATGAGTGTGCGTGAGGGTGATAGCCAGCCCAGGTGGAGGTGCTGGAGGCTTTCTTGTGCTGTGAGCCTCAGCTGGCAATGTTAGAAATGCCCTGCATATAAGTGTTTCTTCAGATAACTTAATGCTTATAACAATAGCTAATATTTTTACGAAAATTCTTGTGCAGCATGTACTACCAATCTTGTCCACCAGCTTTGGTGCAACCGATCCATGAGCAGCACGTGGTTGTTGCATGGAGTGCAGTAAAATGCACAGGGCTTGCAGCATTGTTGAACAGAGAAAGTACAAATGTCACGTAGTGAAATTGCTGCTGTTAGTATTTACACCAGGTTGGCCACTATTGTGTTGCTGGCCCCAGCCTACCACATGCTGGCTTCAAGGGAGAATCTGGGGTATCACCCTGAAGTTGTCACTCATCTGTTACTCAAGGATGAGACAGGGCACGTTTTGGAGTAAATCAGAAATGATACATTTGAGCGCTCAGAACCAGAGTTGTTCGTAACCTCGTGCCATTATTAAGAGCAGAACTGAATGGTGAACTCATCAGTACGTGTGTTGGAGTGAAAGCTGTAACCCGTTGGCCATTTCTGCATGGAGGTGATGTGGGCTCCTGTTTGTTTCAGGCCGTTTCCTTCGCTTTGGATGCAGTCAGGCTTTGTGTCACTGTCCCCCCCCGGGGGAGGGAGTGCCTTCAGAGCACTATTTTAGAGGTGCTTAACGTTTCTTTGATTTTTCAGCAGGTGCATTAATTCTTAAACACTGTTTGTGTTGTTGTGGAGTAAGTAGGCAGAGTTGAAGGACTTCAAAGCCAGACTTCACTGCTGTGTGTTTCATGATTGCTTGCATAGTATATATTTGATGCATCTAACCCTATAAAATAGCTTCTGGAACCACGAGAAGTTGCCTAGTTGTACTTTTCAGTCCCTCTGTATGCTTTTATGAGGTAACCCATGGTCTTGTGTGTTACAGGAAATGAAGTGATTGAGAATTCCTTAATTTTTTCATTTAATATCAAATGTTGCTGCTGTGACTGATAAAGTCTTAAGCTGATTTATCTCAGCTTTGCTGTTACCTGCATTGCTTTTTTAAAGTGTGCTCTATATAGAAATATAACAGTTGTTTATTGTTTTTATTTACAAGAGGGATTAAATGACAAATTCCATCTTGGCTCCAAAATTGCTTGCAAAAGCAGATGTGTATCGGATTATTGGGCTATAAATGTGTTGTGTATATATATGTACACGTTTTAATGAAAGGAGGCTGTTGTTAATTATTCTGTATTTACTGTTTTAAGGCAATTATCTCTTGTTTTCTTCCAGCATCAGATAACAGTCAGCGATTTCGTGAAACCTGCTTTGCTTTTGCACTGACGCCACAGCAAGTGCAGCAGATCAGCAGTTCAATGTGAGTTTGACCAGTAAGACAGTATTTAAATATTACAAAATCCTTGAAAATACCCAAAACTCAGCTTACAACAGTTTTCGTTTTAAAATGTGATCTTCAGTGTACACAATGCTCAGAGGGTGCTCGTGTGGGGAATTCTTTACTCCTTTGTGTGTAAACTGATGGAGGAGAAAGGGGTGTGGAATGAAATACCTCTGCTGTGCTGTGGTTTCTCTTGCAGTAAGCGCTGTACAAATACAGAACTCTCCTACTTGCAGCCCTTCTTTACCATGAGTCAGATCCTTTGTCGAGTTCTATGTTTATTCAGTATAAAGACGTTCCTCACAGCATCACACCATCAACATTTTCTCTTTGCTGTACCAAAAAAAGTAAAAGATAGAGGTCAGGTGAGACTGTAATTGGTTTATTCCCTTTGAAAAATAAAAAGTAGTCTGTATCATGGGAGTTGTGTTTTGACTGACCAGAAGGAAGCGTGGTGCATAAAGGGCTTTGCAGAGATCTGACTTAAAAGCAGTGACTGACAGAACATTGACAAACCTATTGTACAAACAGTGCATCTTAATCTGTTTTCTCTCTTTGCTAGGGATATTTCTGGGACCAAATGCGACTTCACAGTACAGGTCCAGCTAAGGTATGTATTTGTATGGCCTGTTCTTTTCTTAAATTATATAGTATTATCAAAAACTATATAATTATATAATGATCTGAACTTAACTACAAGGCCTGTTGTGGGCATCAGGATAGTATCGGATGGTATCTACTGAAATTGGAGTAGGTGCAGTTGAAGAAACTGTGTGCTGTCCTTTGTGAAACCATGGTCTGGAATTGAGGTCAGGCTGGAGAAATGGTAGGAAAGAAACTTGGATGATCTATCTTTTGTAACAAGAACCTGCATATCTGAGTGAACCTGTTGTTAGGCAGACCCAGCCTGAGGAATTCAAGAAATCTGAGGAGGAACCTACAGCTCTCTTGACCTAAACCTGTAATTTGGGGGGCTTTCCTGCTTAAGGATCCATAAGGCTAGTTTGGGGACTGTATTTAGCAAGATTTGGCATGTTTTCACAATTCAGAGGGGGGAAAATAGTCCTTCTAGGAAGAGATGGCTTTTAAATCATTTTATTAGTGAAAGGTGATGGAAACTCTTTGCTTTTAGGTTTTGTTTATCAGAAACCAGTTGTCCACAAGAAGATCACTTCCCACCCAATCTGTGTGTGAAAGTAAATGGGAAACCATGCAGCCTTCCAGTAAGTAAGATGTTATTTTGACATACATAATTGGATAGAATTGTTAAGAGCTGTCTGTCAGAAATTAGCCTGAGAATTTATCCTAACCTTTGTTTTCCCGTTTTGGAGCATTTGAATGAAGACAGATAGAGGAATGAAAAAGATAGTTAAGTAAATTGTTTCTCATGAGACCAGCCAGCAGATCAAGGAGACTGATATTCTGAAAGCTTGACAGTAAGTTTTTGTTTGATAAACATCCTCTGAGTCTGGCTAACGTGGGGCTCTGTTTCGGAGATCATGCATGCATCGCTGACCAACAGGGCTGAAGAACAAGGCATGGACTTGGAGGACTGGGGCAGAGCATGGGGCTGGACTGGGCAGTGTTAGCCAGGCACATGCAGTGAGAGCGCTGAGAAAGAGGTGTCAGAGCTGCCTTCTGATATTCCATTGGATAGGGTTCAGATTTGCCAAGTGTGGAGCTATGTGTAAGGAAAAAGCAGTTGGGAAGCACGTGATGTTTTGCTGTCTGATGTTCATACTTTTTAAACTGAGGAGGAAGCCCAGTTCTGGTGGGACCCAGCAGGTATTGTGGCAGGGCTGTGGGGAGTGGGGAGGGAGAAGGTGAAATCACTCTTCTTCTTTTGCTGAGGGAGAAAGTCCTTTGATTTCTAGGGCTATCTTCCACCAACCAAAAATGGTGTTGAACCAAAGCGACCTAGCAGACCAATCAACATTACCTCACTCGTCAGATTGTCTACGACGGTACCAAACACAATTGTTGTTTCGTGGACTGCAGAAATTGGAAGAGTAAGTAGTTTTATTTGGTGCGTAATGCTGTCTAAAGCTTACTAATTTCTGCCTTGGCATTTGCTTGAAGGATTTGAAAGAAAAGCAAGATTAATTGTGCAGGAAATACTTCATGGTTTCGCAGTGGATCCTTCCTTATATTGACTGTATTACCCTGTTACTTCAGCCTAGGCTGATAAGACATGCTCCCTTAGGTCAGTAGTCCTCAATTTTTTATTGGTGTGAGCTGTCTGTCCTTACCTCTCACCCAGCTGTCTCTGTGAGTCAGGGCCCAGACAATTTGCTTGTCATAACTGCGGGCATTAGGCTCTTTCTGGTTTTGGGCACTTGAGAAACAAATGTGGCGTTGTGTACAGAATGGTGGCTTATAACCGTGTAAATGTAGACCCTAAGCATAGCAGCTAGGTAGGGCTCGTGTTAAATTTTCCTTGGATTTCTGTTCTCACAAATGCTGTCCTTCTATTTAATATTTAAAAAGTCATGATTTTATAGCTTTTTCTTGTCTGCAGGGAGAGTGTCAGAATGTTACAATTGATGCTATAAAATTGCTGATGTTCCACTGCACTAATTAAATCTGGAACGTGGTGCAAAGGCATAATTGAATAAGTTAGTCCCTGAATTAGTGCCTCACTTTCAATGATGACAAATAACCGCTGCTTACGTGTTACAGAGTTGATATGTGCTTGAAAAAACTCTGGCTTTGCCATTGCAACCGTCCTGTTTTTTGAGGTCCTGAGAACTGTCCTGGGGTGAAACTTGGTCCAAACATTTGTCTGAGTGCAAAGCCCAGGATTCCTGAAGCGAAGTGGAAGAATGCTTACAGCCCAGCCATGCACAATAGGCAGTTGTAAAACACCACGATGGTATTTCATTCCCTCTCTGTCATGATGGATTTCTTGTGGAGCGTAAAACAATCTCCATTGAGATTACAGAGTAAATGATGGCTGACTGATTTTTTCAAAGTCATCTTTTATCTAATGAGAGCCACAGGTATCAGAAATAAGCATTTATTTTAAAATCCATTTTGGTTTCTTTTGCAGAAGTGCCTGTACACACTGATGTTGGCTTTCAGTCCAATGCTGTGCTTTTTCTTAAGAATACAAATGGGGATTTAGGGAAAAGAAATGTCAGAAGTGTGTGGCTTCTGAGATTCTCTTCAGTGACCTAGCAATTTCCTTAGCCTTCATAGATACCAGTTACAAAAGAATATACTGGCTAACTTCCAACTTACAATATGAAACTGAAGATAGGGGCAAATTCTTAGCGTGCTTCATGGGAGTTATGTGCCAGTCAGAACTTCCCCTCTCATTAGATAGAATGCTTCCTAATGTGACTGTTTGAGCCCTGGACAGTGAAATGTGAGGAACTGCCCTGTTTTCAGATGTGCCTGCATAGTACAAAATCTGAATTCCTTTCCCCACCTTCTCTGAAGTGTCAGTTGCACATCTCAACTAATGTACTCTACCTTTCCTAAAGTCATAATTGTGATTTTTACACAATCTGTTTCACGAGCCTTCCATACAAGATGCCTTGGGCAAGTTCCTAGCTTTGTAGATTCAAGCTGTCTGTAAATAATTTCACAATGTTAATTAGCTTTTTTTCTAACTTCTATACTAATTGAGGCATTAAACAAACAAGTTAAAGCAGTAGTGGTTTTTAACGATGTGAGATGCATTCATTGTAAGAATGAAATATTTAAACTGTGCTTCTGATGCTATTTCAATTTGTGTAATTTTATGCTAAGATATATTACTGAAACCCCATCTCTGGGTTCTGGTTGCATCCTACGTAGAGTGGCAGATATCACAATTGTCTGGATTTTTCTGGTTTGTTTTGCTAGTGGAAGCATACATGGTAATTGCTGGGGGTCAGCCTTTCATTTTTCAATTTCAAGTGTGTGAGTGTATCTGCAAGTCTGGAGAATGCTTTATATCAAGAAGTAATTGATGCACCTTAATGTGAGGCATGTTCTGTCCTTTCCATTATTTTTCTAGGGAGTGGGGGTAGTGATGGTGTTGCTGGTGATTGAATAGTATGATATCCCAATTTTAGAAATGAACTTCTATTCTGTTTTCCAGAACTATTCCATGGCGGTCTATCTCGTAAAGCAGCTGTCCTCTACGGTGCTACTGCAGAGGTTACGAGCAAAAGGAATACGGAACCCCGATCACTCGAGAGCATTAAGTATGTCTGATGTACTGCTCTATAAAAAAAGTAGCTTTTGTAAATGGAGATTTGAAATAGGGCTGTACTAATCAAGGCTTGGACTTCCTACAATTCTCTGGGTTTCGAGAATCTGATAGTGGTGTTCTTTGTATTCAGTTCCAATTCAAAGACTCCGAGGCTTTTGTTTGTGTTAGGAGCCAGTCCAGGAACCCTGTTGACACAGTGAAGAGAAAAATGCAAGAGAATCTCTTTCAGTTCAGTCATGCTGGTTTTGTTTCTTCAGAATACAACAACTGTATTTACATAGTTAACTGGTAATTCAGTACCTCAGCAAGCTGAACTAAATGGCAGAGACTGAACCTTGATGCTGAAGTGCTGGAGGAAAGTCTTCATCAACACACTCTTTGTTCCTTTGGCACGCTGTTGTGGAGTGGGCTCCCAGAGAGTCTGGCACAAAATTCCCTCCGCTCTCTCCCCGCTCCTTTCCAAACTTGGTGTGAGCTTTGCTGCTTTGTTGTTTTCTGACAAGTGTGCGGTGGTAGAAGAAAAATGCAAACAAAATCTGCTACGCACCCTTTTTTCCAGGGGAAGTATGAAAAGACCACTTGCCAGCTCTTGGAGTTGTACTCCTTCATGCTCTTTTGGGAGATGCTCAGATAATGCACATTGTCCACAGGAAAGGGAGAAAATCAGCCCTCCAGTAACTGCAGGGCCACAAAGCCGATGGTGTGTAGTACTGAGCAGCAAATTATGGTGCACAGAAATCCAGCTTTCCCAGGTGGCTGCCACTGCTTGTATGCAAGAGGGCAGTGAGGGTGTAGGTATGGTTCACGGAGCAGGAAGAACGTGGAACTGACTTGTTCACTTAAACAATGGCTGCTTATAAAGCAGTCCTCTCGGATAAAAATAGAGGCTGGGTGGAGACTGAAGACTGGTGTATTAACTAGTGTTAATGTTTCACTGCAGTTATTTAAAGCTCCAGTTTTGTCAGGGTACTTCTGCTGTGATTTCCTACTTCTTGGTTTGATTTTTGGTCTTTGAATTGGAGGTTTTCTTGTTGAGCGTTTCAGAGGTTTGCACAGACTTGTCCATGTGAGAGTTACTAAAGCTTTTTTAAAAATAGTTGAAGTTAACAGTAGTGTTACTGTTGTTCGTTGTGGTGGTGGCTTTTAAATAACTTTCAACTGAACAGTTGTGTGCGTGGGGAAAAAGCCATTTGTATATAAATATTTTTTCTAGGTATCGTGGTTTAAGAAGAGCTTTTCCTACTTTTAGCTTTCTTAAATTGTCACTTATGATCTTTCTAGAGGTAAAGATGGCTTACATTACACCTTTACTGTGCAAGTTAGAAACACTACTGCTTGCCTCCAGCAGATATAGCAAAGCTTAACGTACTGTTTTAGAATTATTTTATTTCTCTTAACAAATTTATTTTAAATCGACTTTAAAACTAACTTACTTTCTTTCAAATAACTTACTGTCTTTCAAAAGTCAAAGAGAAACTGACTGCAGATCCAGACAGTGAAATAGCAACAACAAGCTTAAGAGTTTCTCTTCTTTGTCCGGTAAGTGTTTTTAATTCCCTTAAAAATTATTGTGATTTAAAAAAAAAAAAGAAAAAAAAAAAAGGCAAAAAAAAAAATGTGGCTGTTGAGGGACAGGCTTTTGGTAGAGGTTGGCTTATGTGGCAGCTTCATGGGAATAGGATCCAGTACTGTAATAAAGCACATGACTTGCCCCTGAGCAGGTGAGTATTCCATTAACTTGAAGATGCTATTCAGATTGACATGTAAGTACACATTTAAATCTATCACTAGGTCATGCACGTGTGCAAATTGGGTTCCTAGGGTTTGGTTGTGGTTACACCACTCTCAGCAGTAAGGCAGGTGATTCTGTCTGTTAAAAACAGCTCTTCAGCCAGTGCCTGCTAGCAAAGAGTTGAGCATCTTTTCAGTAAAGGTGATTATATGCACTTGTATGCATTGAATATTTCGGAGTCTTAGAGAAAAAATGAAGTGGTGATCTGGAGAATGTTCGAATAAAACTTGTACCAAAGGTGAAGTGGGGGAGTACATTCCAGTGAATGTGGAAGTGACAGACTTGCTGTATCTTGACCTATTGTTTTTTTAACCAAGTACATGTAGGGTTTAGCAGTAGTTCATACCTGGCTTTGTTATCATTGGCTGAACTGCGCAGTATTAACATTATGTGTCCTTTTAACGTCTTTGGGATGCGGTGCTCTTGTTTTAAATATCAAACACTTTCAGAATACTTGACTGTTCTATGTAGTGATTGACACGGTATCTTTAGCGCAGTATAACTTTTTAACCTGTCCTCAAGATTGAGGATAAATCTGTTTTCCTGGTTTGGCTCAGTCTGCTCAAGCTTGACGTGAAATTCTCAGTTTTGAAATGGAAGAGAGATCTCTCTATTCTTGGGAAGTTGAGGTTTATTTCAGTGGTTATTAAATGTCTACTTCAACTGTGTCAATGCAAAGAAGCTTTTCACAAAGCAAAGCTTTTGTATCTAAAAGCACAGTGATTACATTCTTGTTTTTTTTTTTAAGACTATTGTACATCTTTGTGTGGTATTTTCACAATCTTTCTTAAGGTTTTGCCATCGATATTGGGATGGAGAACTGTAAATAACAACACATTTATAGACTAATAGGATTTGTTTGTAAATAAGATCCAGGGATTACTTTTACAGATCAGAATTTTATCTTAAACTTAACTTTGTAACCTATAACTGTAGAAACACAATAACCAGTACACCACACTGAAACTGCTGCAGACTGGGAATGCTGAAGCATATCACCTCCATGCATGGAGGTGCTTTAGTTGAACTGGTGTTGTGCTGTTTGCATTCTGTTATTCTGGAAAGCACACTGACAGTGCTAATGCTTTTTCTGTCATTCATTAGACAAGATGTTTTAACCCCATTATTAGTTTTTAGTACAGACAAAAATAATAAATAGGTTAGTAGAATTAAATGACAGTAAGAGTTTAGAAGAATTCCTTATCTTGAATTAATCCTCGTGCATCTTCTGGAAGTAGTTTATTGCTTTGGCCATGGTTGATTTGTCAAAACTGCCACTTGAGGCAGTTGGGTTTCTTCATAGATTATTCTGTCTCAGTTTTCTGACACGCTTCTGTTTGTCCTAATTGTGTCTATTAATGATTAAAGTTCTTCAGCTTTGATATTTTGAAGCATATTTTTTCTTGCTGTCTGTGATTTGGATGAGTTAGTGTTAGAGCAGGAAGATACAAGATTGTTTTTAGGATTGCAATTTTACAAATACGTGAAGATGTCAAATTCTACTTAGTTTTCTCATAGTTATGTTAGGGATGGAAACGAGACACAGCTAGACATTAGGCTGGAGGCCCGCTTTTCTCACTGATTCCTCTTGGTTCTTTTCTGAGAGACATACAAAATGGAGTTGGTAGCCACATATTTATCTGCATCATTTTAATACTCTCTACAAAATGTAGACTTTTTTCCAGCGTGTTCTTCTCTCAGGGCTGTCTGATGTCACTGTAGCTCTTGGAGTAATCCATCATTGCAAAAGCTCTGCAGGACCAAGACTGCACCTCTCAGGCTGTCCTGTGGAAAGAAGGATGGCTAGCAGGATTCAGGCTGCCCTCGACTCTGAATTCAGTTTTGTTGGAAGCTCCATGTTTTTACTTGCAGATTTGTAAACATTTGGCTTAGGGAGAAATTTTTGCCTGTATTTTCTGCTTGCTTTCTAATGCGTGAGTGCAAAGTGGGGGATTTGAAAGTGCATGTTGAAAATGCTTACATAGTTTCCAACAGCAAAACTAAAACTTAAAGATCAGTGCATCTTCAGGTATGTTGATGTGAGGATGCTGATCCTCCTGTCTCACTCATTATGTGTGATTCTATCATGTATGTACTTGAGCAAAATAAATGGGATTGCATGTCTGGAAAAGGGTGGCAGGTTTAGACTTGATAACCTTTATTTTGCCCTCAAAAAGTAATAATAAAAATAAAAGGTGGAGGTAGGCAGCTTACTGTGACTGTGTTTTGGATTGCTGCTGAGCTTTTTTTAGCACAGAGGCCTGCTCTCCCTCGGAGACCATACAGCACGGAGAAAAAGCTGCCCTTAACTATTGGCTGGATCTGCCTCGGATGCAGCAGGCAGAGGCTGGGCTGAATCTGTGCTTCAGGAAGGCACTTGAATTTGTGTTTTTTGGGTTTTTTTTCCCTCTCTCCTCCTGCCCTCAGAATAAAAATAAATCCTCGGGCTCTGCAGCAGGACCAAATATTTAGCTGAACAAAAATTCCAAATCTAGCATTTCACCGTAGATTTAGCAGCTTTGTTTACAAATCTGTAACTCCTGTTATGGGTACGTTCTCTTAGCATGAAAAGATAGCCACGTTTTGTAAGCCTGTAAAAGAAATGAATGCAGCATTTCTTTTGCTGACAGCAAGCAGGAACCAGTAACAGCACTGGGAGTTTTTCAGAAGTTGGGAAGCATCCCTTCTTTTATGACCTCTCCTTTTGTCAGTTCTGACACAGCTTGGCCGGCGTGGCAGAGCTGATCCAAGCGTTCGGTGCCAAAAATGGGGAAAGGAGACTTTTCCTGTTAACACTGTGTGTGCTGTTTGTCTGTGTGCACATGGCTTCTGAGAGACCCAGGCTCAGTTTCTATACCAAGAGCTTGCAGAAATGTTTCTGGTTGAAATCTTTTCTGGACACTGGAGTATTTAAGTTCTTCCTGCAGCATATGTGTTTGACCTGACTTGTTTTTCTTTGGCATCACATAGAAGCACCCAGTTTAATCTCCAGCACTCTTACTCTCAATCCTCATTGAGCTAGGAGACTCTCTAAGTGCCCAAAAGACAAATGAGCCATTGACTGCCATCTGGGAGATAAGGATTCATAATAGACGTGGGTCAGGGGCCCTTGCTTTGTTGGGGGCTGATTATAGTATAGAAATAATGTGCTTGGTCATGGATTTTAGGGGAGGGGTGCCAGACACATGGCGCATGCAGCACCTCCTGCTGCCCCAGCTCCAGCACCATTACTGCAGGCTCCCCAGGGAGGTCCCTGCTTTCCTCCATCTGGTGGTGAGGTCTGTGACAGTGACAGACAGCCAGAGGGGACAGAAATGAGCAGGGTCCTGAAATCGAGCTGAATTTGCTGAGAGTGGGGCGGGGGGATTTCTGCTTACGGGGATCCAAAAAAAGGGGAGGGAAAAAAAGCATCATGGAGGAAGTAGTGGACTGTGAGTAGAGCCTTTGTTCTTGATATTGTTTTTAGTTTTGTGATATTCTGAGATTGAGTGCCATCCTGTGGCACCCATCTTGTATTGCTCGCAATCAGTATGCGTGACCACATTGCTTGCTTAAGCCGTACTAAAAACAGTTCCTCCTCCCAGCCACTGCTGGAATTGGCTGGAGGCTTCAAGTGAAGTCATAACATATATTTTGGTCAGTTATCTGGCTTCAAAATAGTTGACATCAACTTCTTAATAAATCATTGTGATTTTTTTTCACGTAGGGAGGAGTCTCCTTTAGACTTTATTACTTTTTAGTGTAGGCTGTCCCTCCTAGAGCGCAACTTCTCCAGAAGCAACTGCCTGTTGAAGAAACTTTTCGTCTCAGATGAATGTGCAGTGCCCACCACTGTCCAACCAGCGTTGCATTTGTTGTAATCATGCGTTGATATTTTATGGCCTGGGTTATCATTAATCTACCTAATCCAAATCAAGCTGTTTCTGTTGTCAGATCCAGTCTGTGCACCTGCTGTGTGCAGCACCCCTGTGTCTGCCTGCCCTACTCAGGACTCGCTGTGCTCTTTGTACTGAGCGTGTGGAAGCTTTGTGCTGCCCTCTAAACCTGCAAATGGGAAGGAAAGGCTGTTCCCTTCTGAAAGCACTTATGTTCTTGCTAGCCCTTTATGGTGTTGAAAAGATGTAACGTATAATAGGGGATGGTCAGCTATTTGCATTTTGTATAAGAAGGCAAAAAAATTTCAGGGTAACTCAACTGTATGCATAACAATGATGTTTAGCCCAGCAGAATGAGTATAAAATAGTTTCTTAATGGTTAATAGGTATGGTTTATATCGTGAATTGCTGCTTTCTGACAGTTCCTTAGAGAAAGTGGTGAAAATAACAAAAAACTTGAGGAAACAAGCTGTAACCCTGCAAACGTGCTTCTGTATGCATGCTCCCGAGTGTGGAAATTAACCAGGTTGTTCAGTAGTGCCCTGGTGGCTGGGATATGGACAGCAGTTTGAGCACACACTTTATCAACTGTGAGTGAATAGGAGAGGGCTGACCCACTTTCATTGGATTTTAAATACTAATGAGCATGAAGAATTATTTTTCATGACTTGTCCAGGACACTGGTATGCTGTGAGTGGTTGGTAGGCTCTGTATGTTGTTGCCAGCATAGAGAGGGATGTAGTCATCGGTTTCCTTGATCAAATGTAGCTGAAAATGTGACTTCAGTGAGGTTTGTATTGCCAGGCAAACCTAGAAATGAGGAAGGGATGGAACTGTGTATTATGGCATGTGTGTTAGCTGAAAGTTGGATTTGGGGAAGTGTTCTGGAGTAGAATTCAGCACATCCCAGCCTCTTTTTAGACAGAAGAGCTCTGCTTGTTAATCTAATAACAAGGTGATGCAATCTTTTTTTTTTTTTTCCTACAGCTTGGTAAAATGCGGCTAACTATACCGTGCAGGGCTCTGACCTGCTCACACCTGCAGTGTTTTGATGCCACTTTATACATCCAGATGAATGAAAAGAAACCAACTTGGGTTTGCCCTGTCTGTGACAAGAAGGCACCCTATGAACATCTCATTATTGATGGGTAAGTACAACTGAATTCAAAATGAAGGATGTAGCTTCTCCTTTCTGTTACTGTGCTTGTGCAGTACAGAATACATTGCTCTGCAGTTTGGTTATCTGATTATGAGCTGTTCTAAGTGGCCACATCTTTGAATTTCCACACTATTAAGAACTACTTACCAGGTGTGCCTTCTGTCAGCGTTCTGGAAGAACGGAGGTGATCAGACTGAAGGTTTATAATCATTGGAGGTATTCCTTCCAATCTCAGACAAATGTTTTACTACTGTGCTCAAAGTTGTCTGTTCTTTCACATACTCCATAGTGATGGATTCCTAGTTGAAAATAGCACATACTGACTTTTTTTCCCCTTAAATAGAGCAACTGCACAAATCTGGCATAATTGATAAGACATTTGTGTCAGATCAAATAAGTGCTGCCACCTCACCCCCCAGATGCACGTACAATTTCACACTTGGGGAGTTGCTGTGTATAGAAAGTGACAGAGATCAATTCCCTGTTACTGCCCACCTACAGAGCGTTAGGAAAGCAGGTGTTGGTCTCCATGAGGAAATGCCAAATACGAATTCCAGAATTTGCAATTCTCTTTCTTAGATAGGAGCTATCTTCCCTTCTTTCCAGAGTGCGATAAAGGAGAGCAGCAAGTAGGGTTTCATGGAGGAATACGTGTTTTATGCTGAAAAAGAAGCTAGAGCTGCAGAAAACCACTCTCAAGCCCTTTTGGAGACTCTCAGGTCTTGTGCAGACAGCTTTGGAATCGGGGACCCTTGGATTTATGGGTCTTCTGCTTTGGATTGAAGAACTACAAGGATTCCTGCTCCTGTAAATACTAACAGTTTCAGCCTCTAGTAGCGAAGACTAAGAGTTAGTAAATAATTAAAACAATATATCATTCTTATTACCCCTGTGTTGTCAGGTGTGGATGTTGGAGATTAGGTGACAGAACAGTAGCATCCCAGAGAAAAGGCTCTTTCTAGAAATGTTTTAACCTGGGAAAGAGCAAACTTTCTCGCTAATTAAAGCAAAGCTCTTTCATAGGCAGAACCACATGAATAGTCTTGGTCAAAAGATGGAATTCACACAGGGAGTGATGTGGTGCCAGGATTCTCGATGCTTTAGGAGACACAGATAAGAGAAGAGTATGTGAGTTTAGATTCCCATGCTCAGCCTTTGTAAGGAACCTTTCACTTAGAAAGGAAAAAGAGCTTTCTGAAAGTACTGGCCCTGAAGTACTCAGCTGTAGAGGTTGCTTTAAGATATAGGCTTTCTCAGTTAGACACTTTTGAACAATCTCTTACTTACCCGTGTTTATTTTCATGTTTCTGTACATTCTTCCTTTGTTTTGGAAAATACACAGTTCTGTGTTGTGATATCTGGAGTGTTCTAAACCCATCTTTTAAGTGAATGTGCAGATCTGTACTTTAGGGAAAACAAAAAACAACAAAAAAACCAAAACAGTAATTCCAAGGATAAAGCAGCAGAAGTTATCAGTCCCTTTTCAACACTTTTCAAATGTAGACTGACTGATAACAAAGATATCGAGTTAGAAATGAGTTAAGCTCTTTTTGAGGGTGGATGCTAAAAGATTTTGATTAACAGGTTGTTCATGGAAATCCTGAAGTATTGTACAGACTGTGATGAAATTCAGTTTAAGGAGGATGGCTCATGGGCTCCTATGAGATCGAAGAAGGAGGTGCAGGAAGTAACCACATCTTACAATGGAGTTGATGGTAAGTCGTGTTTTGGGACATGTGGACTGAATGTCATACCATTGGACTGTGGAGTCAGTGCCCCTTTAACTTTGATATGCTTGTTTTTGCTTGTGGTAGCTTTTGGTGCATGTTTGCAGGAAAGACTGCTTGAATAATTCCCGCTTGGGGCCAATAATACTTTTTAAGGAATGAGTATTGTTATGTCAGTTTGCTGTCTCTAAGTTGTTTCTGGAGACAGCATAGTAAGCTGTGATGTGATGATGATTGTAGTGTTATTGAAAACTACAGTTACTGTTGGTTTATCTCGTACAGGATGCATAAGCTCTTCCTTAGAGCATCAGGTGTCTTCTCACCAGCAATCAAACAAAAATAAGAAGGTAGAAGTGATTGATTTGACCATTGATAGCTCGTCAGATGAAGAGGAGGAGGAACCCTCTGCGAAGAGAAGCTGTCCTTCCATATCTCCAGCATCACCAATGAATAATAAGGGGTGAGAGTTAAAAATGGAGGCCAATGCAGAGAGAACATATTTGCAACAAAATGCTGACAAATTCAAAACTAAAGCATACTTAAATTATTCCCAAAGCTAGTAGTTCGTTACAAAATAATTTGATCTTGGCTTACAAAGCCTGAAAAGTTTGGAGTACAAAAATGTTAGATGTATATTCTGTTATGTAGAACACACATAAAACACTGTGAAGGATGTACAACTCGTAAGTGAAGTTGTATATATACATGCTTTCATAGCTTTGTAAAATTAACATCGTTAAGCATGTAACACGGTGCAGGTTTTTAATTGCATTTGTGAAAACGAGTATAAAATCATGCAAGAGGTTGTGGCTTAGAGGTATGTTTTAGTGGCTTTGGAAATGCTTTTCTTCCGTAGAGAAATATAAGAGCAGCACATATGGAGAGTGAGCAGTGAGAAACATACTTGGGTGTGGTATGGGAGCGTGTGGGTTTTGCCAGTAACTGCTGCCAGTAGCATAGTAATAAAGAATGCCAGAATAACCTGACTACACCTAAGTAGCCACGCTGTTAATAGCACCCTGTTTACATAAACATGCGGGGATGAAAACTGAAACTAAACCTATGGGATCCTGCCGTTGCTCCAGTGATGTAAACCACTCAGTGATCACTTAAAACTCTTCAAGGCCTTTTTGGCTGTGTTCCATTGTTAATTGCCTTGTAAAGCACGACTGTTAGGCAGATTTGTACCTCCTTTTAGGATATAAAATGTCTTAGGGTTGTCTTGTCCCAGCTTAGGAGTGTATGTAGAATCTTTGCAGTGGAGATCTCTGTACCATTTGCAGTGAGTTCCATCAGTTTTTTTCTGTAAAGATTGAGCTTTTATTTGCTTTAGTTTTGCTGAACTTCAATAGGTTGGCAGTCTGTCTGGAACTGAATCAGTTTTCTGATTTAGAAACTTCATTGCAAGAAAAAGTTTGGGGAACATGTGATGCTCAACCTCTTTCCCCTGCAAGACTCACTGAGGTATAGCAGCAGCTTGGTGCTTTCTAGAGAAGCTTTGAAACTTAGCAGGAGAGCTATTATGCCTCTCACAATGGTAATACTGTGTACTGAGATTGTTAAATTTGAGAATAGGCACACCCTGCGTGGAACAACAGTAGAAATATTGAAATCTTCAAATGATGTACTTATAGTCTTGGTTTGAAGGTTGAATTTTATTCTTTAAACCTTTTGCTTTTTCTAGTATTTTGAATTTACCCCATCAAGCATCTCCTGTGTCAAGAACACCAAGCCTTCCTGCTGTTGACACCAGTTACATCAACACATCACTTATCCAAGACTACAGGCATCCATTCCATATGACACCTATGCCTTATGACTTGCAAGGTAAGCTACTGACAGTTCATAGCTGTAGGTACAGCTCTCTCAGCAATTGTGACTATTACAAAAGGATTCAAACAGTTGTTGCACAATCCAGTTGTGCAAAAATAATATTTTTACAACCATAGAAGAGAAGGTGGTATTTTAAGAGAAAGAAGGTTTAGGTTAGTGTCTTAAGGTGTTAAAAATCTGATTTCTTCCAAGATCTGGTGGTAAAGAGAGTCTGAAGTGTCATTAGTTTTATGCTGGTTAAATTTATTTCATTTCAAAATTTGGTGGGAGAAACTGGGAGGTGCTTGTTTGTTTTGAGAAGCTTGACTCTTTTTCTTTGCTCTTTTCAGGTTTAGATTTCTTCCCCTTCCTGTCAGGAGACAATCAGGTAAGTTAAGGAAAATCAAATCATCTGGCAGATTGCTTTTCTGAAAAGGACTTGCTGACTTGGACGTATAGGCGAGGAAAGAGCAGATCTGTAACAGGTGTGAGTGCAGGCAGACTGTACCTCTTTTGTGCACGCAAGATGTAACCAAAGATAAGCATTGTCCTAAATATAGGTGCAAGATAAGGCATAACGACAGATAAAGACTTCTCTTCAAGGGCTTCAAGCTAGCTAGCTGCAGGTATATTGTGGGATGACCCTTGGCTGTGGCTGAAAGTGCACCAGCCACCTCCTGAGCTTTTATAGACTTTAAGTCTGTGTCACCTGTCTCCATCTGATGGTGCTAGGCCCCACCACTGGGCCTCTTGGCAGTTCTCTACACAATCTTGAGAGTCAGGACAGCTCTCTTTTTTTTTTTTTTTTTCCTTCCCCTGAGACTGTGTGCCTGCTCATGCTGTTTGCTGCTTTTCTGTAAGTGCTTACTGAAATGAGCTAGATTCGGTGCTGGTTTCTGCAGTTCAGAGAACTAAAAAGATCATTCTCAAAAGGATTGGCAAGCCCTCCCACTTGATCACAGTGCCTCCAGTGTGTCCAAGCAAAGAAGAAGACTGGGGTTCACCCACCTTTCGGCCCTCCATTCCTGTTCAGCAGCCTCAGATAGGAGAATGGGACTAAAAACAAGGGGACTTCCATGTCATTACAAAGACTGGAGCCTGTTTAACAGAACTTGGATTCAGAGAAACTTTCTTCATATTCAGTAAAAACACAGATGTGAGAATTATTCTGAAACGAGTATTGCCCAAGTCTGCTGTTGCACTGGCATGGCATAATTTGTACCAGTGCCTGAGTGTCAGGAAACAAGGCTAAATGGCTTGCATGGATGTTTCCTCCTAGAGAAAAGAAATATAAAGTGCAGAATTACCATACAGATAGATAGCATTTCAAATCCGGATCTTGGTAATTGAAGTTCTTGCCTTTTGGGGGCTGCTTGTCAAAGAGTATCACCTTGGACAGCCCTTGCTGCCTTCTGATGGGCCTAAACGTGCTATTTCTAAGTGTGTTTTTCACAGAAGTATGCTTTCCTCCACCCGCAATGATTAGCACTTAGTTTTACCAGCTGTAGTTGATGACTAATGAGCAGAGGGATGGCAAAATGATTCTTTGAATTTTGGGGAATTTTTCCACCGAGGAATTGTATGGAGAGGTAAAAGAGTGCTTCTGCTTGCCGTTTCTTACTGTTTGCCAGTCCTGCAATGCCATTGCCTTTCTAGTCTTTTTTCTTACTAATTGCCAGTATTTCCCATTTCTTTTGGCTCTGGAAGTCAGGGGCTGCAGAGGTAAAAGTTCACTGCATCGATCCGCTTACCTTACAGAAAGGTTGAGTGGGCGAGCTGGTGTGAAACCCAGAAGCTGTCAGAGCTGTAGCTTACGAATATATTCTTTTTTGCTGGTCTGAATCAAAACAATGGTGTCTGAAATGTAACTTGCAAATGTTGTTTTTCCCCCCAGCATTACAACACATCCCTTCTTGCCGCTGCAGCTGCGGCAGTTTCTGCATCAGATGATCAAGAACTCTTACACTCTCGTTTTTTCCCATACACTTCATCTCAGATGTTTCTCGATCAGCTAAATGCAGGAGGAAGCAGTTCTCTGCCAGCCACAAACGGTAGCAATAGTGGCAGTAACAGCAGTCTTGTTTCCTCCAACAGCCTGCGAGAGAATCATGGTCATCCAGTTGCAAGTAGGAGCGGCGCGGACACGGCGTCTATCTTTGGTATCATATCAGACATTATTTCCTTGGACTGATTTTTGGAGAAAACGAACTTGTCAGAGGAAGTCTTTGTGCTTGGTTTTACTTTATGTTAGAAACATAGACAGGTTTTTTTCCTTTTTTAGGGAAAAAAATTTACATGTACAGAGAACAAAACTATATTTTCAGTTTTACTTTTGTATATAAACCTAAGATGGCCTCACTGATAAAAAATAACAAAAAAAAAAAAACAACACAAAGCAAAACACACACACAAAAAACCCACAAAAACAAGGAACTTCGATTTTCTGGATGCTGAAGATTCTACACCTGTGCATTTGTCATGTGAGTTACTTTTTTTGCCCTTAGTTTGGACACAAATGGCATTATTTTCTTCACAGTAACATAAATGGGAAAAGGAACTGAACTTCTGAAGTTCAAGCTTCTAGGTTTTTTTTTTTTTTTCTTTTTTTTTTTTTTTTTGCCTCTTAGAGACATCTATATTTGGTGGTGGAATGTAATTCCCCCCATCCCATTTTAGTGCAGATTTTGTTGTGCTTGAAGTGGAATAAACCCTACCCAGCCTGTTCCGTACCGTTCCTTCAGTTTGCAGTACATAGCCTTTCAGGAGTGTTTATTTGTCATTTTTTGTTCCATGTGACCCTCTGTTCAGCTGACTTTCTTTTTAATTCCATGCTTTAATCAAGCATGTTGCAAGCTCGTTAGTGCACCAATTATTCTGGAGGGCCAGACTCAATAAAATGTCAGGCTGAGAAATTTTTTGGCTGTGTTATGTGGGACAAGACCAAATTTGTATAGAATCTAGCCCCACAGAAAAGCATTGACACATCTGACTGTAGGTTTTTGTTTCTAACAACTTACTATGAAATCCTTTTAAAATAACTTAAGATCCTAATCACAATATTAAGCATGTGTCAATTTGAAATGTGTGGAGCTGCTTGTGCTTTAAGATCAGCCACGCGTGTAGAACTGGCCCACTGGGCTGGGCCTGTCTTCTGGCTGGGAAAACCTCCTTTTAGCTGCAATAGATCAAATTTCTGCTTAAAAGTGAACTTGTCAGCAAAAGGAAGAAAATACAAATGCCAACGCTCTATTGCATGGTTTGTGCAGCTGATAATGGTCTTGGTACACTGTCTTCTGAGTTCACCTTCACCAAGTTAAGTTGATATTAAATGTTTAATGTGAGTCTGTTAAACCAAAAAAAAAAAAAAAGCCCAGCGCCCTTCCCTGCACTTAATGAATCTCTGCCTATTGAAGTCTCTTAGGGTTATGGGGTTCCTATTCAGTTTTCTCTTTTTGGCTTGGCAATTATTTTGATTCCCCATTCCTTTCAGTTCACTTACATTGCACTTGGAGCCATGTTTGCTTCCTGGTTTCGTTTCTTTTTTTCTTTTATTTTTCAGCCATGTGTGACATTGGAAAATCTTTTTGTAAGAACTGGTGGATCATTTGGGCTGATCCGTTCTTGTTACAGAGAAACGTGTAAATAGCTGGAATGCAGTTTTTCAGGAGATTCTTTAAAGTGAGAGTAGGGGGAGGGAAGGAGGTGATTCTCTTGTGTCCCAAAGTCCGCGTCAGAGAGAAATGATTTCCTCTGGTGTGAAAACTATTTTTGTAACTGGTTGAAAGTGCAGGTAACAGGTTTATCAGGAAAGAGAGTGAGGAATACAGAGGTTAGCAGATGCTTGTCTGAGTTTTTAATGTCCCAAGCTGTTTATTGCAGCTGTAGTTGCTTTGAGCATTGACGAGGGCCACCTTTTGCCTATGAAGTTGTCTCAAAATATTGCATTAATTAAAAAAAGAAAAAAAAAAGAAGAAAAAAAAAAGAAAAATGACAAAAAAAAAAGAAAAACACGTTAATCCAAGTAGCATTAGGTATTGCTGTATGATCAGTTGTATGGTTCTTTGAAAGGTTCACATGATTATGTGGCATCAAAATTGTTTTTAGTGTTTTTACAGCATCCCTCTGCCACTAAATAGTTGACTTGAATTTTGAAAACAAACGTTTGTGTTTATATGTATATGTGTGTGTATATATGTATTTATAGATCTGTGTGTGTGAGTTAAAAGTGAGTTAAATAGTTTTTCCCATGCATGTGTATTTCATACATATCTGGCTGATATATATATATATATTTCACCATACACCAATTTTATAATTTATTAAATGTCAGTTAAAAAAAAAAATAAAATAAAAGGATAGAAAATGGGAAATACTTATTTTTTAAACTCAGTCTGATTTCGAAGTGATTAAACCTACATTAGGAATATGTCTCATACATTTTAGTCGTGAGTTCTGCCCGGTACCCGCAGAGCAGCCGCGTCCTGTCCGTCCCTTTTGTAAAGCGGAGCACCCAGAGACGTTTGCAGAGCTGAGCGAGGCAATGTTCCCACTGACTGAACAGTGTACTGAAGAGGAGCTGAGGAGCAGCCCGCGTCCGTTTCCACCACGGTATTAAAATCTTTTTCATTCACATATAAAACCGATCGTGGCAAGCGTGGTAAGACAGGATCTGGCATCTTGCTGCCCGCGCTTGGAGAGTGAGGCCGCCTGGTGATGTCTTCCACTCCTCCTGCGTTGCCCCGAAGGGAAGGAAGGCTGCTCAGTTTGCTGCTGCCATCTCCAACCTCGTTGCTCTGCAAAGAAGGGAGAGAAATGTTCCCGAAACTCTTTGCGGTGTGAATCCCACATGCTTTGAGTATTCATGTTTCACGCTGGGGTGTGCTGTATAGTCGATAATCTCTGTGCCTCTGACCACAGTTAACGTGACTTGGTAGAAGTCTCAGTCTTTCTCAAAGTTCCCTGCAAATGGAACTCCGATCTCCCCCGTCAGGTTGCTGATGAGAAGAGCTGCTGCAAAGTGCTGCAGTGCGTGCCTGCTGATGTGGGGCAGCCGCGGTCCTTCGGTGGTGGTTCGTGACCCTGAGTTCCTGCAGGGAGGGATGGGGGTGGGTGCTCCGTATGGGGTCAGGGTGTGCACACAGCGTGGGCTGGACGTGGCTTTGGGTCCTGGTGAGCATTACTGCTGCGTTGTAAGGGAATAAACCACCACATTGAACTCCAGTCTGCACTGTGCACTGAGAGCGTGTTGGTGCTGTCACCATCACAGGTGTGGTAGCAGCTCCAGGCTGACCCATTGCCCCCCGTGCAGGGTGCCTGAATGGATGCAGGGCTGATGGGTGGCCAGGGAGCGGTCCCCATACACAGCGCTGCGGGGAGAGCAGTGGGATGAGAATTCCTCGCTGCAGGTTCACATTTCAGGGTTTTAAGCACATTTTAAATATATTCAGAAAGGGTTTTGTTTTGTCAGTGTAACTGTTTTGGTTTTTTTCCTTTCTTTTTTTAACAGAGCTTAGATTTCTAACAAGGGAAAATTGCTGGTGGTCCCCCAAAGTGCTGCTGTTAATTGTTTTAATTAACAAAGGGAAAAAAAATGTATATAAGCAGAATATTAAAATGACCATTAACTCAGATCTGTCATTCATTGCCTTAAAACTTTCTCATAGTTTCCATACGGCATGCCAAACCAGTACATGGCTTTTAAAGATGTATAGTAGACCAATGTCAGTTTGTATAAAAGTACCAAGTGAAAATATTTATTATATGCATTGGAAAAAAAACAAATGGTTTACCTATTGAATGTTACCTGTTTATGTAGAACTCTTTAGATGTAATAAAAAGCATTCGGCTACATTGTGTTTCCTACAGCCACACACAGCAGGGTGGGGGCTGGGGGGCTGGGGGTCTTCGGTGGCCCAGGACCCTGTGAGCAGGAATGCTTTGCTGCTGTAGCATGGAGTGATTCATGCTGGTGCCTTGCAGCTCCGACCGTGCTGCTTGGGTGGTGGAAGAGACGTGCTCGTGCTTTGCTTTCTAACCAGTTGTGTGCTGCTTGAGTTCCTGCCTGACTTCAGGGGTTGTGTGATGGTGTTGGAGTAGTGCTGGGTGCCTTTGAGGGCCTAAAGGCATTGCACTGACTGTTGCTGTGAGGGTTTCCCTGCTGGCTGTCACATAAATGGTTGCTGCAGAATGAATGAGAGGAGGGAGAGGCAGGAGGAGGCAGTGGGGACATGCACAGAGCCCAGCCCTGCTTGGGCTTCAGGGCTGTGCTGTGTGCTGCCCTCAGTCCTCAGCTGTGCTGCCGTGCTACGGGTGGGATGAATACTGACTGCTCTGGATCATACCAGCTTTAAGCAGTCTAGAGATGGGTTTTTTGCTTGGTTTTGTTTTTTTGTTTTTTTTTGCTATTGTGGAAAGCTAGATTTCCATAGCCTGTTTTCCCTGCCAGACACCTCCAGGAGTGTGTTCAGCCCAGCCCAGTGCTCGGAGGCAGACCCAAGTGCTGCCTGAATGCAGGGGCAACTGAATGGCACTGAGAGCCGCCCCTGTGTGATGCTGCACCTGAGCAGAGTGCAACGCTGCAGGGATGTGGTGTGCTGCAGGAGGGGGGAATGAGAACTGCCACGCTTTGAGGCTGGCAATGTCCCCTGCAGCCAACAGGCATCGTGCCCAGCGGAGGCTGCATCCCTTCTATGTGCAGCAGTGCTGTTGGCAGCATCTGGCTGGGAGCTCTGCTGCTGGGTCAGGCTGTGGGGCCTGGCAGTGTGAGCACAGCAGGTCATGGCTGTAGGTTTGCTGTATGATGAGAAGTGTTGTGAAGCACGATGCTTTTGCCACAAGGGAACATCACACCTCGTTTATTTAAATATCAGCTCACATTTTGAGAGAGCGTTTCTCTGGGGATGGGGTGGGGACCTGGGGAAGTGCAGCCAAGGCAACCCCTGGGCTCCCAAAGGCAAATGATGGTTCCTGAGTGCAGGTGGTGATGAGGAAAGATGGAGTGAAGAGAAGTTGCAGGTCCTGCTGCTCACAAACCCCTCCTGCTGTCAGTAATCGACTGCAGGGAGACAAATGGTGCGGGTGAACTCTTCGTATTTGATTGTTCCATTTGGTCCGATTTTGGCTTCTTTCAGCAGGTCATCAACTGCAAGGAAACAAAAGGAAATACAAGGCTAAATTTGTATTGGGTGTAGGTTAGTGGTATTGTGCTGCTTGAAAGAAAAGGAACGTGGGATGTGGGTTTTTGAGGTGGTCAGGCTCTATTGGAGGTGCCATCCATCTGCGGTTACTGGACCTAGGTATGCTGTTGTGAGCAGGCTGAAGCACTCTGCTCCTCAGAGAGAATATCCTGCTGGTGTAATTAATTCTTTAATTGAAAAATAATGAACGATTCCCAGAACACTTAAAAGTAATGTGGGGAGGGGAGAAAGGGTCGGTTCTCGTTGGGTCAGAGCGCATTGAGTTACAGCACAGCTGAGGTGGGATGGGGTCGGTTCAGCATCAGGTGCTTTTAACTGCTGTCCTTCTGCATGGACAGCTGTTGTTTGGACGAGTGGTGGTGGCCATGGGGTGGCAGCAGCATGGTGAGCCCATGCTGATGGGTGTGTAATTAGGAACAGCAGGCTAATGAGGCTGTGGGAGCACTCTGTGTGCATTGATAGGACAGGGGGATGGGGAAGAGAGGGAGTGGGAAGTCTGAAGCTACCATACCCTCTTCCTCGGACAGTTTCTCCCCCAGTCGTGTCAGCTTTGCCCGCAGCTCAGCAGCAGAGATCAGCCCTCGCTTCTCCCGATCAATCATGGCCAGCGCCGTCAGGATCTCCTTCTCAGGCTCCTCCTGCTTCATCTGCCTGTACATGATGTTGAGGAAGGTGGAGAAGTCCAGCTCTGCATTGCGTTCTGGCAGAAAGGAGAGCACGGGAGAAGGGCTCAGCTCTGGACTCTGGGGTAGTTCTACCACTTCCACATCCCCATCTTCCCTTCTTGGGACTCCTTCTGGTTTTTGTCTGATGGGGAGAGCACTGCTGGTGGTTCCCACAGCCCACGTACAGCTGTTCTCTTTTCCCCAGCCCAGATTCCCCCCTCTACGTGCCAGGTCCTGGGGTGCACAGTGACATGCAGCCCCCTCCTCCTCTCCCATCATCTCCCAACTCCAGAAAATCAATGTTTTAGCCAAAAAATAGCCACCTCCTGCTAGCATCAGCCAGCTTTGCTCCCTTCCTCTCAGACCCATTTTGGGATGTGTGTTCAGGACTCGTGGGCTGATTTTGGGATGTGTGTTTGGGACTCACCGATCTTGTGCAGGTGCAGGTGCCGCTGCGCCTCAGCCGGCGTGGGGCTGACCCCCAGGCAGCGCATCACAGCCAGCAGGTCTGCAGCCCTGATCTTCCCTTTGTGGTTCTTGTCGTAGAGCGAAAAGCACTCCTTGAACTCTAATTAAAAGCCAAAAGTCTCAATTATGGTGAAGGAGGGGATCGGGTGGCTGCGTCGGGTGTCTCCTTACCCTGTGGTGCAGGGAGGGGGAGGACTGAAGTCAAGGACAGGGGTGGGGATCCTGGAGGATCTTTTCCAACCTTCACTGCTCTATGGTTCTGTGTCCAGGTAACGGCCTTAGGTGGTGTTTGGGTTGGATATAGAGGAACAATTTCATCTCCAAGAGAGAAGTAACGAATTGACACGGGCTGCCCTGGCACGGGGCTGGTCCCCATCCCTCGGGCTGTTCAGAACCATGGGGCAGCAGCACTGAGGGATGTGGGCATGGTTGGGATGGACTGAGTTGGGGTTGGGGATCTTGGAGACTTTTTCCAACCTCAGGGAATTTGTGATTCTGATATTAAAGTGCCAAAAGTAATTAAAACTCCAGGCTTGCAAAGCAGGAAGGGATGGAGCATGGCACGACCCCCCCGAGGTCCCCCTCCCCGCCCTCCCACAGACGTCGGGTCCTGATGGGGCCGCGGCCCCGGCTCCCCCCGCCGCGATCCCGCTGAGCAGATTGGCCATAATACTCTTATTGCACTGCAGCACTGCTGTGCACACCCTGCCCCCAACCCCCTCCTCGGGGCCCCTTCCGCGGCGGGGGGGATCCCTGGTCGTCCCCCCTTCCCTCCCCCACGGCTGGCAGCCGGCTTCGTCCCTCTGCTCCCACCGCAGCTGAAACCTTTCTGTCTATGGTGGCCCCCCCACACCCTGTGAGGGGCGGGGGGGGGGGGGGGGACACGGGGGGAAGGGAGATTGCTCGGAGAAAAAAGAGGGGGCGACACCCTCTGCCGCGAGGTTCTGCTGCCGGAAAGTAGGAATAACAGCAATAATAAATACATACCATTAATTTGATCCTGGGACAGAAACTTGGCCTGCAGGGAGGGAGAGGAGAAAAACAGAAAAGAACCAAAACTTGAACATCGTTACGGGGACGCGGCGCAGCGCGGTGCCCCCCCACGACCCCCCCTGTCCCCCCCCCTCACCATGGCGGAGCTCCGCGGGTCGCACCGCGCGGCGCGGAAGGGCCGAAGTCCGGCGGGCGGGGCGGGGAGGGCTGAAATAACAGCCGGAGCGGGGCGGGAGGCGGAGGAGGGGGGGGGTCGGGTGGTTCTGCTGGGCTTTTTTCTCTCCTTTTCCTCTCGTTTTCTCTTTTTTTCTTTTTTTTCCCCTCTTTTTTTCCCCTTCTTTCCTCCTTTTTCTCTTTTTCTTCCTCCTTCCCCCCCCCCTTTTCTTTCCTCTTTTTTTTCTTCATTTATATTCTTTTCCTTCCTTTTCTTCCTTTCTCCTCATATTTTTCTCTTTTCCTCCTCTTCTCCCCCCTCTTTTTTTCCTTTTATTTTTATCTCTTTTTCTTTTATTTTCTTTTATTTTCTTTTTTTTCCTCCTCCTTTTCTTCTCCTCCTTTTTTCTTCCTTTTTTTCCTCCTTTTATTTTCCTTCTTTTTTCCTCCTCCTTTTTTTCCTTCTTTTTTTCCTCCTCCTTTTTTCCCTTTTTATTTTCCTCCTCTTTTCCCTCCTTTTTCCTCTTTTATTTTCCCTTCCTCCACCCCCCCTCCCCCTTTTTTTTCCTTCTTCTCTCTTTTTTTTTTTTTTTTTGGTGGGCTTGAGTGTTTTCTATAAAAACACTGAACAGACATTACAGCTCAACCCTAACTCATTATTCCCACACATGAATGTATCATAACATGTCCCGAATAAGCAATAAACCAAAGAGCAAGAAGACCACAATTTATGATAATACATCGACATCTTGTAATGCATCACAGAACGGTTGGGTTGGAAGGGACCCCAAAGCCCACCCTGATGTGAGCTCAGCTCTGTCTGCCCACAGCCCCACCAGCAGCCCCCAGTGCTGCTCCAGCACAGCCAATCCTCCCCTGCAGCCCCCACCTCCACGAGCTCGCAGCTCCAGCAGCTGAATATCGCAGGTGGGCTCCCAGCAAAGCCCCCCCAGCTGACAGCATTCACCTTGCAGCCAATGTCGGGCAAAAGATTTATTTGAAATACCTCTACATTTAAAAAAAAAAAAAAAACAAACAAAAACTAGATTTTTTTTAAATTTATTTATTCTTTTTTTTTTTTTTTTCTTTGATTCTCTCTGAAATATCAAAACCTATAAACTCTCCTTCGCCGCGTGGAGGTTGCTCATGTGCAGGGTGTAAAAAGCCCACGGCTCGGGGATGTAAATCACCCCGGGGTATTTCTTCCTGAGGGTTTTGTCGTTCCACAGCCACGCCACCCACACAGCAATCAGAACCAAGGTGATGATGAACGAGTAGAAGAGGAAGAGCCCGTTGCTGTCCAACACCAGCCCTTTGCGCTTCTGGTGCATCACCAAAGCCATCATGGCGAAGAAAGTGAAGATGTAGAGGATGAAGATCTGCCCTTCGGTCACGAGGTACCTGCAAAGCAAAGCGCCTGTAGTGTGCACCCCAAAACACCTGCCAGACAGCAGTGTTGTCCAAAAGGTTTGTATTGATGCTAGGAGCCCATTGCAAGCACCCTACAGCGTTTTTTCTCCATTAAAGCAGCTGTTTGAGTTGGTATTCTCCCTGCTTGGCTCCAAATGGGATACATGGCACTTCTTGTCAGCCCAGAAATTCATTTCTACACACTGTGGAGCAGAGAAATGGCTGCAGTGAGTCCTGAAAGCTTAAGGAAAAGGTTGGGGGGGGGGGAGCAGAGCTCTTGCACTTTCCCAGCTCTTGTTTGTGTCTATGGGAAATGGTGAGGATTTGGTCCTTGTCAGTGGTAAATAGTGAGGATTTGGTCCTTGTCAGTGGTAAATAGTGAGGATTTGGTTCTTGTCTATGAGAAATGGGAAGGATTTGGTTCCTGTCCATGGGAAACCTGAGGAACTGTTACCCACGGCTTGTTATACATTTGTTTCCTCCTGCACCACGCAGAACCATGAGTGTAAATCAGGGTGCTGCGCTCATCTGGGAGAGTGCAGAGAGGCAGCAAACTACTGGGGAGTGCTGGAAGCCAGGTGTTGTTTTGGGTACCAGCCCCCAGGAGCCCATGGGGTGGGGGGTACCCATGGATGCCTCCTTGTAGGGAGCTGTGCTGAGGATTGGTCGGGTGCTGATGGATGGAATTGTGCTCAGTGCACCTTAAATTGTTTTCCTTGGAATGGCAGAGACTCAGCCGATGTATTTAAAGGCAGAGCAGCGGGGTAAGTGGGAACTGACCAAATCATCCTGATGATTTTGACGATCAAAAATTAATTTACTGTATGAGAACAGCCTCAGCAGGGGTCAAAGCCACAGGCGCAGTAACTGACAATGAATGGGAAATTGTTTGGCTGCCATCAGGGAAGTTGTCTGGGAAGAGGAGGCTAATGAAAATGAGAAATAAATAAGACCTCTCTCAAAAGGCCATTTAGCCCTGCAGGATGTGTTGGTGTACATCCCTGTGCTCCAGGGAAAGTGGCACCAGGAGCACCCCAACACCATGCAGATCTGTCTGCCCACAGCACGGGGGGGTGGGAGCTCAGGCTGCAGCTGTATGGACCTAGTGCTGGGATTTCTAAGGAATAGAAGAACAGGAAAAGCACGGGATGCCAGCAGGTAGGGCTGGGACAGCTGTGCCAGTGGGGGGAGCAAGACAGTGGGTGCCCGAACACCCCAAGTGGGGACAGGGACACGCAGTGCTGAAGTGGTCCCAGCTCTCAAAGGCTCATTGAAAGATGATTTGATTGGATTTTTCAGCCTGGCACGGGAGCTGCAGCTCTGCCCTGGCACCCCCAGAGCCCCAGTGGGGCACTCACCAGTAATAGAGGCTGCTCGGCCCCGTCAGCAGCAGTGCAGACATTGGCATCCTGCTCTCATCCTCGTCGGGTGTGAAGCAGCCAGTGAAGTATATGAAGAGGATCAGGAAGAAGGGGATGTACCTGGGGGCAGAGGCAGCCTGGGGTGAGTTTGGGGCTCAGAGTCCTGTTTTGTGTCCGTTTCTCCCCCCTCTTCCCCCCACTGTGACCATTCATTAGTGTGATCATCTGAACAAATGAGCAGGGTGGTGGTGGTCGTTGGTTTACATTTTTGGAGCAGAACTGTCAGTGAATCTGCAAAGAGGAGGGGGGAATTGTGCTGCTCTGCTGCTCCCCATGACTGCAAGTCCCCCAAATAACAGGGACTGAAAAAGCTGGCAGAAATGGGCAGCATTTGGAGGGAGAGATCCCTGCAAGCAACCCCAGAGAAGTGCAGCAAGCAGCTCTGCCCCTCAGTGCATCGCTCTGAGCCCTCCAGATCAACCCTGCAAAGCGCTTACCACATCGAGTGACCCAAATACTCATCGTAGTAATACAGCAGCTCAAAGGAATCAATCTGCAATGCAACAGAACAGATTCAAAAGGGCAGAGAGGGCACGGCGCGCTCCGAAATAAGAACAAGCAACGATGATGATGATGATTTTTTAAGCCCCGATATAAAGAAGTGGCTTTACCAGCGTCTCTGGCTTCAGGTTCCTGATGATGGGGTTCTCCCTGACGGACAGGTGGTGCTGGTAGCCACTGAAGATCAGGCGGTGGTTGACGGAGTCGCCCACCAGGTGGATGCTGGCGCCCATCACGAATGTGATGATGCTGACGTACACCATGGACCGTGGCAGCGTCTTTGGGGAGCGCTCGATGAGCTGGCAAAGGAGACACTGAGCAGTGAGGAGGGACAAAGCGATGCTGTGACAAATCCATCCCTCTCCCGCCTTGCAAAAGTCACCCACGCCATGCAGGGATCTGCAGAAAAGCACAGCCTGTGCAGCTTTCTGTTCCCAACATGCGTTCCATCCCTTTTTGGGACGATAAATCACATTTTTGGGCACTCACACCTGAGTCACCGCTCACACTGAGCCACGACTCCCAACCAGGACACCCAGCAATTCCTTCCCCAGACGTGACCAAAAGCATCGTTCACCAGCCACAAAGCAGCAGCTTCTGCCTCCCCTCCCCTCGTGCTTCCAGCAGCCTTTCTGTGCCCTCCAGCGGTGAGAGGGACCTCCCGCACCGCTCCCCTGTGCCGCATCCCGTACAGAGGGTCTGCAGGGGGCTCTGCTGGGTTGTTTGGTCTCCTTTCTTCCTAAGGGAAGTGGATCTCTCCCTCTCTTTCTGCTCCTGAAGTGGAGCGGAATGAGCCCTCCTTTATTTCAGCCCACCCGCTGTGGGCAGGGAAGCCTTGTCCCTCATAGCCTGGGGATGGGGAAGGTTTTAGAGCCCACCAGGGGGAGATACGGCAGTGTTGGGACCCAGCAAACCCCGCGCTGCCAAAGCAGCTTTGCAGCCCTTCGTCTGCACGAACGCAGAAAAGCTCCTTATTTGTTTTTAATTCTGAGGCTTAACTTTCCCTCTCTCTAACTGCTGCCACTGTCACGGTGTTCGGGGAGGGGAGCACTGGGCTCAGGGAGCTCCCATCTGGTGTAGGAAGAAGGGCAGAGGTGTCCTTTAGGGGTACATGGGGTGACTACAGCAGCAAACTGTGACCTATGGAGCACTGAGCTCCCAGAAACTGGCTGTGCCACTCAGCACAGCTCACACTGAGTGTGAAAGTGCCCACAGCCCCACCAGGACCGGGACTGAGCTTTTCTTTCCAGCCCCAATGGAGTTCAATCACTCCCAAACTCAGGAGAGAACCATTTCCATCTCGGGACATAATTCAATTCCTGGCTAACGAAGGTTAAAGTATATTTATAATTGCTTTTTTGTATCTCCTCACTGCCAAGTAGTTCATAGGAAAAGATTCCCAGTGATAGGACAGTCCTTAACCTGAAAACGTAGCTGCAAGATTTGGTGGCTGGATGAATTTGAGCTACAGACACAACTCTAATGCTGAACAGCAAGTGTAATTAAGCACTGAACAACTTGGGAAACCTGCTGCAGTTCCAGCTGCCCCATAAGGTCTGGGTGGTTGTTGTCTTAACAAAGCACTTTGGGGCGAAGAGCTTTGGTTCTGAACGCGGAGCTCAAGGCTGAAGCGACGTGCTTTTACATGCAGGGAGCACGTGAACAAGCAAAGGGATTTCTCCCGGGCTCCGACTTCTGCAGCCTTCCCCTTGAATCAGAGCTTCTGTCAGAGGCTGAGCCATGTGGGTGCAGAATGTGGTCGGACCGGGTTTGTTCCAGCTGACGGCACACGGACGGGAAAGCAGCCTGGCTCCCACGAGCTCGCAGCCACTAAACTGCCTCAAAGCAGGAGAAAAAAACCTCAAAAGTCCCATCTGAGGCTTATGGCCGACGGGTGGGGAATTGCTAGAAAGGTGAAAATAGTTTCCAGAGTGCAAAAAGGTGGGGAGGTGGTCGTGGGCTGCACAGAGGTGGGCACTGCCTCAGTCCTGAGCAGCCGGCATCCTCAGTTCCTTCTGCAGAGCACAAGGAGGGCTCAGTGGTGGTTGGTGAGTGGTTTCACCTGAGGAGAAGTGCCTCTTGCCCTGCTTTTACAGCTGGCAGCATTAAGAATGGTTTACCTTTAGCAGAAGAAACGGTGTTATAACATTGTAAGCCATGTGGAAATAATCTCCAGCACTCGGTTTGTTCAGGGGAAACCACTCCAGCGGCAGGATTATCTGAGGAGAGGGGGAAAAAGATGCATCAGTGCACACCTATGGCTCAGCTCAACATTACCACACCTTACTTTGGGAGCACTCACAGCCCCACACCTGCTTTGGGATGGGAACAGAGAAGAGCTTGTTTCGGAGCTATGGCTGCTGGCCTGTGGTCTGGTGGCCAGCTCTGCGATGCTTCACATTGCTGTTAATAATGACAGTGGGGAGCTGTTCTTGTAGGGAGCATCCCTGCTGGCACCTTTGGGATACAGGAGCTAAAGGAACAGTGCAGTTGAATCTCAGCTGTGCACTCCTGCAGTGCTGAGAAAGCAGTGAGAAACCCAACAGCAGTGATCTGTGCTAAAGGACTGTGCTGTTCAGGTGCCAGCACTAAAAAAACCTCATTTTTAGGGCAAAGACCCTGAAAAAAACCTCCTGCCACATGCTATGTGGAGAGCAAGAGCCCCACGCTCAAGACATGCAGGCAAAGGGACGGGGATGAGCAGCAGAAACAGCACAGGTGTTATGAAAAAGTAAACCTATGGGGCTGGGGATGCACCAGCACTGCTCTGCCACCCCCAGCTCACCATGGCGATGGGACGGCCGAAGTCCAGCACCCAGTTCTGCAGTGTGAAGTAGAACCAGAGGTCGAGGTGGAACGGGGAGGTCTTGGAGGTGTCCTCGTTCTTTGCTGCCCCATGCCTGGTGGGGACAGAAGGAGAGATCAGCCCCGTGGGGATGGGGATGGCAGGAGAAGGCTGCAGGGCCGCGTGCCCAGCCAGAGCCAGCGCTTTGCTGCTGGGTGGGTTGGGATCAGTGGTGTTTGCACAGAGCTGGGGCTCTGAGCAGAGAAGGCAGCATGGAAAGGTAAAGCATCAGGAATAAAAACCCACACGTCTCTTATGAAGGCTCTCCCCGGCTGAGGTGGGAGCACAAAAGCAGGATGCAAAGCCCGAATGCTGAATTAAGTGCAACTATTTTTAACTTCCGTGCGACAAAACAAAGCTCCCACCACACTTCCAATGCCAAAAAGAAAAAAAAAAAAAAAAAAGTGTCATATGCTACGAAAGTACTCAATGTAAAAAAGTATCGAATGCAAGAAAGTATCCTTGCCCGGCGGTGCCCCAGCACGGGGATGGTCGGGACACGCCGTCAGCTTCATTCTTTGATCTCAGGCTCATCCCGTGCCCTGCCCCTGCAGAACCGCCCCACTGAGCCCATTTCTCCAGGCTGCCCCCCGGATTTCACCTCCCTATAGCAAGGGAAAGCAGCTGCTTTAGGGCCAAGGTGCCACGTCCTCTTTTAGGGTGCTGAGAGCAGAGCCCCGAGCTGAGCACGGAGCTGTGGGATGGATGGCGGTACCCCGAGGGTCAGGATGAGCCTGAGAGAGCCGTGGTTCCCTTAAGAAGTTGCAGTGAAGTCGGGGGCACCCAATCGCCAGGGATGCCCCGGAGCACTGCAGCGTCCCGGGGAGCACAGGAGGAGCTGGGCCGGGGGGCTGCGTGGGACCGGAGGGGTCCATATTGATCCAGGGGGCGGTCAGGGTGATGCGTGTAGGACGGGAGCTGCGTGGAGCTGGGCATCCGATACAGCCAGGATGGGCTGGGGCGGGGGGGTCAGGAAGATGCGGGCAGGGGCGCTCCGGGTGATGCTGCGGGGATCCCAGGGATGGTGCCGGGAGCTCTGGGCACGATGGGCCGCTCCTGTATCCGTATCCCTCCCCCACCTTTCACCGTTCCCCTGCCGCTCACCTGCCCGCGTAGAGCGGCCCGGAGGGCTGCGGGGAGCCCGGAGCCGCCGCCGGGAACGGCCGCCGCCGCGCCGAGCCCTGCATGCGCCCGCCCGGCTCGGCTCGGCTCGGCCCGGCTCGGCTCGGTGCTGCTCCGCCCGTGCTCCGCCTCGGCGCTGGAGGAGGGCGGGCGGCTGCGCGGCTGCGGGCGGCGGGACGGGCGGAGGGAGCGGCCGGGGGGAGCCGGGGCTGCGGATCGTCGGAGAGGCTGTAATGGGCTTCGTTATTGCGGCTCTTCGTATTTGTATTCTGTTTATTTTCGTTATTGTTACGTTCGTTGTCGTTTTTATTGTTTTGGTCGTGATTGTTTTGAATTATTTCTTTCAAACGATGATTATTACCGCCTCCATGATCCTCCTGTCCCCCCCCCCCCCCCCCCCCCCCCCCCCCCCCCCCCCCCCTTCATGCACCCTGGTACGGGAAGCAGCCGGCCAACACGCTGCTGCCTCTGCACGCGATGCTGCCCTGCAGGATGAGTGCCAGGGCTGAAATCCACCCCAAAACAGGGAGCAGGCACTGCTCTGTGGGCACGGCATTGCTCTCCTGCCTCCTCCAGCTATCAGAGTGGGGAGATAAAGCACAGAAAACCCTCCAAGCCCACAATCGTCCCCTGTATTCTGCGTAGAAATTTTGGGCAGCTCGTTTTATTTCCCTGTCCAAAGCGTGCTCAGATAATCCTTGCTATTTTTGAAATAGAGGAAGGAGAGCGAGACGATTTTTAACTCCTTAAGTGCTCTTTAGAAATAAAACCCTATTGGACCTGAAGTGCCACCACATGCACTGATGTGAGTCCTCACCCCATCAAGGAAATGAGATTTGGAAGTGGGAAAAGGCCGACGGAGTGCAAACGCTGCTGCACACAATTGGCACAAAGGTGCAACCCAGTGAGTCAGGAGGTGCTGATCACAGAATCACAGAACTGCCTAGGTTGGAAAAGACCTTAAAGATCACAGAGTTCTAAACCTCCTGATGCTGTGCTGCCTTCTGTGTGCACGGCCCTGGTCTATGCTGCCAGGCTGGGACGACAGAGCTCTCTTTGCAGAGTATGAGGCTGGAATTGTTTGCAGGCTGTGCCACAGCTTGTGTGATGATGACTTGTGGTCCTGACAGCACCGAGCATGGCAGGAGTGGCTGCGACGAGGCTGCAGAATGGATCTGGTTTCTCCCTTCATGGCTGTTCGTGCATTGAGGAGCACGGCTTTTGTTGGGAATGCAAACACCCTGCGAGGCAGAGGGGATGGCGGAGGTAACGGAGAAGAACTCCACTGACACTCACCCTGAACTCATGGTGTTGGGCACAGCTCAGGCTGAGTGATGCTGATCCCCATTGACTGAACACCCCGACCCCTCTCCTCAGGGCTCCTTTTGGTGACTGCCTGCAGCACGGCCGGGCCACGCTGCCATGCATAATGCACGCTGTAGCCTACGCACAGCTCCAGTTGCATGGCTCTCCATTAATTCTTTATTGGGCTGATACCGGATCCCCTTCAGGACAATGGGGCGCAGCAGACGGGCTGCGGGTCGGCGTGGGCCGTCTGTGCTCACGGTGCCCTCGCTCGTGCCAATGGGACCCCAGGCCGCACGGGCAGCTCGGGGGATTTTGAGGCATCTTGCTGAGGGCTCGGTGCGGGGCTGGCTCTGCGGGACGACACACGTGTGTGTGCCCTGTTGTGGATGGGCTTGGAAAGCTGCCGGCAACTTGAAGCCACGCGTGACTTCAACCCAAACGCAGCACCAAGGGGCCAACCCCAAGGCCGGGCTGCCCTCGCCGAGCGGGCTGAGGGAGGCCCCGCTACGGGCAGCGGCGCTGGGGGCAGGGGGAACGATGGAGTCCGCAACGCGGAACGTCTGTGCGCGGCTCTCTGTTTCCGGGGGGGACAACGAGGGAGTACGCGCAGCGCTCGCTTCCGGTTTCACTTCCGGAATCGGGGGCGGAGCGGCCGCGAGAGCCCCGTGCCCGGTTCGCGCCCCGTCGAGCCCTTCCGGCGACCCGTAGCGGCGCTCCGCTCCCCCGGCGCCCCCTCCCAGCCCACCCCGCGCCGCCTCGGGCTGCGGGTTCGCGTCCCGGCCGGGGGCGGCGGCGCTGGGATGGCTCGCGGGTGAGGAGGAGGAGGAGGAGGAGGTGGGCGCTGGGGCTGCCCCGCCTCGCCGCCGGGCCCGGGGGGCGGCTGGCCCCGAGAGGGCCGCATGTGCCCCCCGCCGGGCCCCGAGGCAGGACGGAGCGGGAGGCGGAGGGAGAAGCGGCCCCGGCGGCCGCGGGCAGGCCCGAGCAGGGCCGGCCGGGCCGGCGGGGCCGCAGCCGAGAGGAGGAGGAGGCGGCGATGGAGGGGCTGGCTGGGTACGTGTACAAAGCGGCGAGCGAGGGGCGAGTGCTGACCTTGGCCGCGTTGCTCCTCAACCGCTCCGAGAGCGACATCAAGTACCTGCTGGGATACGTCAGCCAGCACGGCGGGCAGCGCTCCACCCCGCTCATCATCGCCGCCCGCAACGGCCACACCAAGGTGGTCCGCCTGCTCCTCGAGCACTACCGCGTGCAGACCCAGCAGACCGGCACCGTGCGCTTTGATGGGTACGTAGGGCCGGCAGCCCGATGCCCGGGGCCCGGCACCGGGCCTGGTGTTGGCGTTTGGATGGGGCTGAGCTGCTGCTGGTCACGGTGTGTCTGAGCCCCGCCTCGGGCCCGGCGGTGGTTTGGCCGGGGTCTGGTTATGGTGCGAGCACGGCCTGTCCTGGCTTTGTCATAAGGTGTCTTGGGCCTCACGTGGTTCTCTTGGAGCATTTTTGTGCCATGAAAGTGACCCAAGGGATGGGAGGCCTCCCCTAAGAGAGAGCTGGGGCTGATCAGTCTGGGGAAAAGAAGGCCCTGGGGGGTGCTGAGAGAGGCCTTTCAGCATCTGAGAAGGAAGGATGCAGACTCTTCAGTGAGGTCTGTGTGAGAGGATAAGGGCAAATGGTTTCAAACTGAAAGAGAGGAGATCTTGGCTGGGTATAAGGAAGAAAATCTGTTACGATAAGACTAGAGAGGCACTGGCACAGGCTGCCCTGAGAGGCGGTGGAAGTCCCCTGCTTAGAGACACCCGAGGTCAGGCTGGAGGGGCTCTGAGCACTGATGGAGCTTTGCATGTTTCTGTTCATTGCAGGGGAGTGGCAGCAGATGGCCTTTAAAGGTCCCTTCCAACTCAGACAGTTCTATGATTCTGTGGTGATTGTCCTGGACATGTCACATTGTGTCCAGGGCCTGCACTGTGCCTTGTCACAGTGTGTCTGGGGTCAGCAGCAGGCTGTGGCTGCCTGCTTGGCATTGCTCAGCTGGTGGCTGGGCTGTTGAGATGGGCATGGCACTGCTGTCCCAGGGGTGTAGCACTTGATGCTCCTTCACCACTTCCAGCTGAGATTGCAGGCAGGATTTTATTAGCCTGGTGGGCAGGTGGCCCCATATGCATTCTGCACTAAAGCAGCTTTTCTGTGACATCAAGCATTCTGTGACAGACCCACAAGTAGGATGAGAGCGGGGTGGTGCCACCTGCTTGCTCCAAGTGAGACTTTTTCCATTCCAGCTCAGACAAGTAGCAGCTTCCTCACTGCTGGGGGCCAGCACGGGGTTGCAGGGAGGAAAATGCGATGGTTTAGGGCAGGAGCTGTGGTGAGGAAGGAGGGCATTGCCCAGGAGCTGGGGTTCGTGGTGCTGTGTGACAAGCAGGATGAATGCTTGTGGTTTGCTCCTGGTCTGGGGGGGGGCGTGGCCAGCTGGCTGCAGAAAGCCTGTTTCTAAATAGATTTTAGTCTCTTAGCAGTGTTTTCCTAACAGCAAATGAGCAGTACATCTGTTCTGTTAGGTGTTGAAGTAGTTCTGCCTGTCCTTGTGTTAAACCTGCAGGCCGCCGTGCTCCCACGTTCCTTTGTTGTCACAAGCTTCATTACCTCTCTTGTTTTTAAAGTCTTTCACAATTCTTGTCAAGTAGTTGCCCATATGTCATTCTTAAAGCCAAGAATTGTGAAGGTCCATTTACTCTTTGAGCAGCTCCAGGTTCAGCAGGTAGCTGGCTGTGTGCTGGCACAGAGAGGAGAGCTCCCATCAGATACTGAGAGGGATCGTCGCGGTCCTCCCGTATCTCTCATCTGGCTCCTGCCTGATGAGCTGCAGTGATGTCTGTGCAGCTCCACCTAACCCACGGGAAGGCTGACTTGCTTCTTGAATGCTGAATGAAGGGGGAGGAACTGGCTTCCCTGTGTATGTGCTTTTTATTCCTCTTTCAGCCCTCTTTTCACAAGTAGAAACTGGTTGAGAATACCTGCTGGTGTGAGTGTCTGTCCTTATTTTAGATAAAAGAGGGCCCTGTGTTGACAGAAAGTGATAGAAGGGCTGTTGTCTCCCCTCTGCTGCTGGATTTTCTCTCATGCTGTGCATTGATGGGATGCTGATCTGCTTGCCAGAGCCTCTGCCTGATGCAGATTAAAGGAGGTGTTGTTTGACTTACAATGGGCACAGTGTGCCATCACCTCTCCCCTGGCCTCAGTAGGAGTCGCAGCCTGGTGAGAAGAAAGGCAGCATGTGATCCCAGATCATGCTTGGCGTTATTTTCATTTTTGTGATAAGGTGGCCCCGAAACCCCCCTTGTTTGGGCTCCAAGCTTTTGACTCGTAAATATGGGCCTGTAGCGCGTTAGTAAATTACCTTGTGTTCGCTCACAGAGCCTACATCCTGATTTACTTCTGTTTTAATAGAAAAGTACTTTGATGTGGTTATGTATGTGCAAAATAAGGAACTTCTTACTGGGAACAAAGGTAGCCACATCTGTTATATAGACATCTCTGCATGCCAGGGCTCTTAAGTGGCCTCTGAAGTGTTGTCTGGAGATGCTGGATTTACAAACAGGCAACCAGCTGTTTCTGCAGAGCTTTGTAAAATGATGAAAATTGCTGCTGAAGCTGAAAGTGAGCCGGTGTCTCCTGATATTTTAATTCTGAAAAACGTGACTGCGTGGACGTATGGAAATAATCAGATATTTCTCCCTCCTCTGTGATCCGGGCTGTGCCTCCAGTGT